TTCGAAGCTCAAGGGAGTCCTTTCCGCTTTGTTATGAACCTCCAAATCTTTGCATCATCTGTATAGATTGGTGACTTTGAGCTCATTTTATCTAACAGGTTATTTAATAAAGGTCGGGAAGAGGAGTGGACCTAAGATCATTGTTTGCTGAGACGCTCCAACCCGTGTGCACTATAGTAATTTTGGTACGGAACGTCTAGTTCTCTAGGTAGTTTTGGTGAAGAGATAAAAATGGTCTAGTGAAACTAATCGCTACAAAATTTGCTGTGAGGAGTACGTGTGTAGCTGCGTCAAAAACTTTCACAATGTTGGGCAATAATTCACGGACCAGCATATTTTCGTCCAAGTAGTTTGTCCAGCTCTCCCATGTTATGGAGAGACTAGACGGGCACTACCTGTCTTTCCTAAACCCATGTTGGACATTACGGATGACATTATTTTTATTCATGTACTCCCTCAATAATTCATTGGTCAGTCCTTCTAATAACTTCCACAGTACCAGAAGTAATGTGGCTGATAAAAAAAGACAGGGTCTTCTCTATCTTCCTCTATGAATATCGGAGAGAAGGTAGCCAGTTTCAGTGCTCTGAGTAGTTAGTGTGACTCAAATAAGTGCCTGAAAAAGTGGCGTCTGGACAGTGTTTCAGGAATGTGCGGCGGGTGTCGTCACATTCTGATGACTTATATGGGTGTTGGGATTTTAGTTTCACTAATACTAACCCACAAGATGGTCGAAAATTTCTTAGAACCTCAACTGGCATTAGAACTGAGAGGTGTTCCTCACTTGCAAAGTCTTGATTTAACTGGTCGATGAAATCTGCTTTACGGTTTTCTGCCATCTTTGATTGGTAGAGTTCACACTACCAGGCCCTTGAGTAGCACAGATGCCCTGGACTGAAAGGTTTTCGGTCTCTATACAATCCACTTAATGGAAATCGCTCCGAAATTTGACTAAGCAAGCACGCTGAGAATCAAGTGGGAATGTGTAAGTTGCCATGCCTTCTTTTAATCAAGAAGAACTATCGACAGGACTCAGGCGCCATGTAATACACAGTTCTCCAATTCGTCTAAACAAAAAGACAAAATTGACTTGAAATAAACCTTCAGGAACATAAAATGTATTTCGATGTGTGAAGGACTGCTTTGGAAACAAGAAAATGTGTTTGAAAAGTTTCGTTAGTCTGTCACAATAACAACTTGATTTCATGAGACCTTCACATTTCGTGGTATTCATTTAAAACTGGCGATGCCGCGTGGTTTCGACAGTTAACGTAGCCCATAGTCACAAATTAAAGTCTTTCCTACTTCATGTCCAGGAGTTTTTACACATTTATGAGCGTGAACGCGTTGCATTAGATGTGAAGTGAGGTGTTGTTTGTGTCACCACTTAATAAAGTTCCCATTATATACTAATACTAACAATAAAAGCACAGTATTCAACTGTCTTTTTGTATGTTTAGCGTAGTTCTTAGTTGTCGTGTGCGTTTCCACGATTATCCAAATTGCTCTTAACTGTTTTTCGATGAGTTCCGCGGTCTTGCCAGATGATTGTCGCTCTAAGCTTATCAAATTTGACTTAAGTCAATAAATTGCAAACGGATTTCGGTTTGAAAAGTAAATTAATTTAAAAGATGCTTATCTAAATAAACTGGTGGACTACCTAGCTATAATAAGCGAAATCTGGTAGGTAATCAATTCAGTTAGTAAGGCTTTTGAACAAATATGTCTTAATACGTGATTTTAATTCACAATTATGCTTATGTACTCGACTAGGTTTACAATTTACATCACCCTTAAACTGTTTTAGTTTGTAACTGACTGAAAAATACTAGAAAGTCTCTGTTACAGAATATAAACAACTCTGAAATACTTGCTAAAAAATTCCACTATTTCTTGTCTACTCATATAGACAATACGGACTAGCCGTTACGAGAAAAAGGAACTCCATTAAAAGTCAATCTTCCCGTTTCATAATTCCATCAAACTAGCTAATATTTTCGACTGTCAGTTTTTCCTACGGTTTATTCTGACAAAAGTGTTTAACTAACTGTTGTAGTATCTTTTTGATGCTACACAACATAAGGCTCTGTCCCGATAAATGATTCCATCGGTGCACAACTCCTTGCAAAAGCCAACCAGGCCCTAAAGTTTCAACTTTCAGGCTTGGATTTTGCAAGAATTATCCCCTCACATGATTGGTATTAAATGTAAAAACCAAATATACCAATTTCAAGATCTTTCAATATGCAAAACGCTTACGAAAGAGTATATTAACTTTACAAAAGTTAGAAAAGTATGAGGCAGAACGACCCTTTGCAAGCTAGATCAAAAGGCATATTAAAGATTTTAGCTACTACTTTGAATCTTCCTTAGTATGTCTAATTCATAGTCAAAACAAGGACTTCCCCGTAGTCCTGGTGAGGGAAAATACGAATAGAACAGATTTTGAAAAGTGTATCTATAATATCCTAGAAAAGCCTACTGCTACTCTGCAGTTAGTTGGACTTCCGAACTAAGTCTTTCTCCTTGTATCATATATGACCCCGAAATGCCCTGGTACGGCCGAGAGTGGGGAAAGTCAGCTCTCCATCTCCAAATGCTCTCACATGCCCACACGTATATAGCCACTTCAATGGAGGTTCTACTCACTACCCTCTCGAGGTGAGTGTTATTTACGAAGTTGAGAAGACGGAAAGCAAATATCCGGCGCTTTACCAGGGTTGGTGGATACGGAGAATTCACTTAGGGGAGTTGGAAAACCCTGATTCCGAACCATTAGTGTTTATGAGCTCCAGAACTCTACAAGAATAAATGGTGTATGAACCTAGTGTTGGTGACCGAATACCATATCTAACGTTGCTCACTTCCTTGTGGATTAGACCTCTTAGTAAAAGGCTTGAGGAGTGGCTCTAAGGAAACTAAATGCATCGGTTTTGGGCACCCGGACAGTATCACAGCCCACACACAAATCAAGTGACTTGTGTGTCGTATTTGTATTCGGTGCTCCTTTGTAGCAATATTTATGTATTCAAATAAATAAATAAAAATAATTTTTATGTATATTACTACCATTGAAGTAATTGTTCTTATGAATTTAGTGTTCATCTTGTGCTAATGAGGTAATGAAAACTAGGACTAATGTATATATGCACCTGGTCCTTCGTTGTAGCTGACTGACTGGCTAGTTGAACATAATAAATCCCAGATACATGTGACTGATTTCCTCGATAAAAAGCATTCCCTGAATTTTTCGGTACCTAGATTTTTCACAAACAGGTTTGTATCAACAGTTTCGATGGTATTTTCAATAATCACCTATTTTTTTACTCTACCAAACCATCCAGCTTGTCAAATAACTATTTCTTACGATTAACCTATTTAGTTTTCCACTCTTAAAAATTCACAAACAAAAAGATGGATGAGTTTTTCACTTGAAATAAACACTAGACAGTATCACAATTAATGCTTAGAAGCCTACGTAGCCGTCTCAAAATCCATGTCAGTGACACATATTCACACTCAACCTTCATTTAAATTTCAAAATTTACCCATATTGCACTATATCATTCTTTTATCCCGATCACTTTGTCGCCTAGTCTTGGTTTTTTTCTGATTAAGGCTTTTGTTTTTATTGTTCAGATATTCGTCCTGTTGATTTCTCGTTTCGATGATATGGAATGTGACAACTTGTCCCAATACTTCAATTTCGTCTTTGTTTATAGATAAATAATTAAACCAAAATCTAAACAATACGAGAATTTAGTAATGTTTCCTGGAATTTCAGCGTAAATAAATACCTAATTAACTGATTTTTTCTCACAATACTGTAAACACAATTCTATGCGTCTAGTACAGTAAAATTATACTTTGCTCAGTCAAAGGACCAGTAAATTAACTTTGTAGATTTTGAAAAGATAAAGCTTAGTGTGATTGTTAAGTTAGGTAAAATTGCATAAACCGTAAGTAATAAAGAGTTCAATTGATTGCAGTGTATCGAGAGTGCCAAAAGTTTGTTTATCCACAAAGAGTCCAATTCAACGATAATGATTTCCTCGTTTACAATACGAGATGCTATCAAAGGCCGTCTATTCAATTTTATCTTAGCAACCATTTGTGTTTGCTTGTATCATCTTAAAATGACAGATTCAAAATCTTATTTATTATTATTTATTTTAACACATAGGTATTGGTACAAGGAGGCACCAAATACATATGCGCCACACAAATCTCAATTGATTTGTGTGAGGGCTGTGATACTGCCCGGGTGCCCAAACCGAAGCAGGTGGTTTTCTTAGGGGGCCACACCCCGAGTCTTTGACCTGAACGTCTGATCCACAAGGCAGTGGGGCATCGTAAGGAGATGCAGTCCCATGGTAGCCGGTGACCAACGAATTGGTTCATACGCCATTTGTTCCTTCAGGATACTGGAGCCCATGTGCACCATTGGTTTGGGATCCGGTTAAAGCGCCGGACATTCGCTTTTCGTCCTCTCATTTTCGTAAACAACAGTAATGCCACGAGAATGCAGTGAGTAGGACTTCCCTGGCAGGGGCTATATACGCGTGGCCATGTGAGAGCATTTCGAGAGGGAGAGCGGACTCTCCCCACTCTCGGCCGTACCACGGCATTTGGGGGCAGATTCAAAATCTATTACCTTTTTAATAAGTATGCGTAGTGTGGCGTGGTCGCGTCGCTTATTACTATTAGTATCGTGCATTCGGTCCTGTTATTCTGTCTTTTAGATTGTTGGATCTATGTCCAGATAGTGTATGTTATGAAATAACTATATTCCTGAGTAGAAAAAATACAAGCTGCTTATGTGAAATAATAAACATCATTTTGTGAAGTCTGGCTTGAATTATCGCTTACTTACATTCTAACAGTGTTGCTTTATTTCATTAAAGCTCCCTAAATTACCATTGACTACAACGGCATTCAATCTCGACTATAAGCTGTAAGAATATTATTCCTCTTGGTGTCAGTCATCTTAATTATAATTTATGATGGATCCTTCTAATCAACTAGATCTCAAGATCGGTCTGGATGGCATTAGTTGTACTGACTTCGCGACTGTTGGTGATAAGATTCTACTTGCAGTCGGAACATGTAATGGAAGAATTCGTATGTAAGTTAATTTTTACTGTAATACTTGACAGTATTTTAGATTTGATTATGTGGATCGAACAAAGGCGTTACTTCAGAAACGTTGGCATAAAACTATTCGATGCTTGTCTTTTTTCCCTAAAACTCAAAATTTATTAGTTTCGGCTTCCAGTCAAAGTGGCTTAAAAGTACACGATGTGATTTCTGAAAAACAAACTTGGGCATGTTTTCAAGCTCATGAAAAATCACCAATATCTAGTGTTTTAGTTCTAGAACATGGACAATGGGTTACAGGTGATGAAAATGGAATTATCAAAGTAATTCGTTGTCTTTTGTACACTTTACTTACATAACTTGATAGATTGGATTTTGTTTGATTGCTGTGATTAAGTTTTACTAAACATAATTTATACAGCCGGTTAGAATTTTGCAACCAACCGATTGATCAGCCATTTATCATGGCTAGATTTGGTAATATATTTGGCAAAATAATTATTATTATTATTATGCTACTCAATAATGACTTACAGGTTCATGTACAGGGTGAGACGGCGTCGTAATGTTCGTCTGATTACTTAAGATTGAGAATACAACGCATCGGCGAGCGTATTTCTACTTTACGCTTATGAACTCTGGACCCTCTGAAGTGATGTTTGGAGACTAAAGTGGCAACACCATGATAATAGTATTGAGGTGCGAGAATTAATATGCGGTTCAAAGTCAAATATATGAATAATAAATAAGTTATACTATGTTATAGAGTCACCCTTATTTCTGATCGAATTCTACCAATCACGTTTCAGTGTATTCACTAACCCAGTTGGCTTAATATTGGTATTAGGTGATTTAGAACAATATCGAAAAGCCTTAATATGTATTTCTTACTGATTAACACTCATCAGCTAGGTGCGTCTTTAATTTTGTAGGAAATCGACCTCCGTGGAATTCAAACCAATGTCACTCAGTGTATATATATGGAAAGGGAGAGCTAATTCTCCTCACCCTCGGCCGTACCAAGGCATTCATCTATTTTCAAATGAAAAAGGTTGTAGCACTGATAATGTTTGACTTTACGATCATATGTGTTAGTATGTGCATGTATTGTTTGTCTATTATTAGATGTGGGATACAAGGAAGTCAGGTCCAGTATCAGTCATGACTCCAGATATTGAAAACAAATTTGATGATTTTTTCAATTCTATCAATGAAATGGCTGTATCATCGAATGATTCTCATGGAACTTTGTTAGCTGCAGTTGATGATGGAACTTTAGCAGTGTATAATATACGACGTCGACGTTTTGAAATGTCTTCAGAAACACTTGGATTTAGTGCACGTACATTAGCTGTTGTTAAAGTAAGTAATTATTACAGAATATTTGTAAAATTATTGTATGAAATATGAAGTGTTGACCTCAGTAATTAAGCCGTTCATTTATTTGAATACATAAACATTGGCACAAGGAGGCACCAAATATATATGCACCACAATTCGTCATTCGATTTATGTGAGGGATAGAATACTGCCCGGGCGCTCAAACCAAAATAGGTGGTTTTCTTAGGGGGCCACGCCCTGTGCCTTTGACCTAAAGATCTAATCCGCAAGGCAGTGGCGCAACTTTAGGAGACGTTGTCCCATGGTAGCCGTTGATCAACGAGATTTATACGCCTTTTGCTCCATCAGGGCCCCCGAATGCCCTGGTACGACCGAGGGTAGGGCAAGTCAGCTCTCCCTCTCATGGCCACGCGTATACAGCCATTGCCAGGGAAGGTCTAATCACTGCCTTCTCGTGGTGCGGGTGTTGTTTACGAAATTGAGAGGACGGAAAGCGAATATCCGGTGCATTAACAGGGTTGGTGGATACGGAGAGTCCACTTAGGGGAGTTGGAAAACCCTGACTCTAAACCAATAGTGCACATGGTCATTAGCTCGATATCTGACCTTTTGACTGATTGAAATTTTTCATATGCGTTGATAAACTGTATATATGTTGTCATGCTTTTCGGTCTAAATCCCGTACTTCTAGAAATTCTCTTATATTCCTGAAATTTCATGAATCTGGAATTTTGACACCTTTCCCGTTTTCTAATGGTTATCTACGCGAATTGATAATTACTGACGTCTCACGTCACTTCACTGCTAGTACACCTTTCTATTCTCATACTAAGAAACTATGTCAAAACTTATGAAGTTGTATTGTGGTGTTTTCCCCATTTATTAATGTCTTCTAGCATATTCCTTCGTAATTTTGAGAGATAAATACGAAGTAGGAATTCAATATTGTCTGTTAAATTCGTTCATTGTTTTCTATTTTCATCCCTCTATTACCTCGTCTTTTTTATGCATGTTACAATACACTACTTAGTGCTTATCAGTAACCACTTTTCTATGACTTGCATCCCATGCAAAAGGCGTAAGCGAGATATCCGTCTATCAACCAAAGGACCCCAAATGCCCTGGTACGGCCGAGAGTGGGGAGAGTCCGCTCTCCCTCTCGAAATGCTCTCACATGGCCACGCGTATATAGCCCCTGCCAGGGAAGTCCTACTCACTGCATTCTCGTGGCATTACTGTTGTTTACGAAAATGAGAGGACGAAAAGCGAATGTCCGGCGCTTTAACCGGATCCCAAACCAATGGTGCACATGGGCTCCAGTATCCTGAAGGAACAAATGGCGTATGAACCAATTCGTTGGTCACCGGCTACCATGGGACTGCATCTCCTTACGATGCCCCACTGCCTTGTGGATCAGACGTTCAGGTCAAAGACTCGGGGTGTGGCCCCCTAAGAAAACCACCTGCTTCGGTTTGGGCACCCGGGCAGTATCACAGCCCTCACACAAATCAATTGAGATTTGTGTGGCGCATATGTATTTGGTGCCTCCTTGTACCAATACCTATGTGTTATAATAAATAAATAAAATAAAAATAAATAAACCAAAGGACGGGTGTACTGCGCAGCAGTTCGTTCCGTCCTACTATATGGTAGTGAAACATGGCCGGTAAGAGTAGAGGATATTCGTAGGTTACTAGTATTCGATCATAGGTGTCTTCGAAACATTGCTCGTACATCTTGGGACCACCGAGTAACGCAATTGTTAGGAAACGAGTACTAGGTAAGGATGGCAAATCGATTGATGAAGTAGTGAATCTTCATCAGTTGAGATGGCTGACACATGTGTTGCGCATGACCGACCACCGACTGCCCCGACGTGCGATGTTTTCTAGTTTAGGAGTAGGTTGGAAGGAATGTAGGGGTGACCAGATCAAAACATGGCACAAATCCATGACGTCACTGACAAGTGGACTGAGCCATGTTGGTAGGTGTAGACTACCTGGTTGGTGTCCGCGAGACGATAGCAACCGATGGTTAGAGACCTTGAATGACATGGCTGAAAATCGTTTACAATGGCTCAGGTGCATCCGTTCTTTGTGTTCTCTCAAATCCTAATCTACTGAATTCTTCATGTCCCTTTTTTCCCCTTTCCAAATTAATTCTCTGTATTATACTCCTTGAATAACATCTTCAAAGCCTAGTCTTTCCGATTACTGCTTATACTTTTACTATCTCTACCACTACGGGGTTTAAATCGACAACTGCATCGTTGTGCTAATGTGGTGTGGCAACTCGAACTGATGTACGTACGTACGAATCTCTACGGTGTTACTGACTGATTGATGCATGGGGATACAGTCGTAGGAGATGGATTGGCATTGACGATAAAAGGAATGTCAATAATTATTAAAGAGATTCAATCGTGAAGTAGAGGATTTAAAGTATTTTGTCATATTCTACGCTACGTATAAACCACCCACAATCATACAATGTTCATTATATTTGCCAGTTTCTAAATTTGGAATGTTTGACTTTTTTATACTTGTAGAATAATACAAAAGTTCTTGTCGGCACTGATGAAGGTGTGATTTCTGTGTTCAGTTGGAATGAATTCGGAAATATATGCGATCGTTTCCCTATACATCCTCTTCGACCATCTAAACAAGGTCAAGCTAGGACAGCTGTTTCTGGTGGAAATTCTGTGGAGAATATAGTCAAAATTACAGAAGATATTGTTGCAGTAGCCACTGATGATGGAGTTGTAAGGTAAAATTTTGTTTCTGTATGAATGTGTTAAAGTAACTGTCTTCAATGAAACATAACTGAACAAATTGTTGGTAAAAAGCGTGTTTATAATTACACCTCAAGGGATTACCTTCAACCATTTAGTATCATTTTTTCCCTCGCTTCCAACCAGTTCAATGTTTAACCCCAAGAGATAAACGAGGAGCTTCATACTGAGTCGTCAGATTTATAAAAAGACAATTCGTTATTATTCATAAATACATATTGACAGCATGTTTTTGGAAGAAAAAGTAAACATCTACGCTTCCTACAGACAATATTCATAAGTTATTCGTATTCGATAATAGATTTCTTCGGTGAATCGATCGCTTGTGTTGAAGCCACTTAGTAAGTAATATTTGGATTAGACTCAGAGTACTAGCCATAGATAGCAAATCGTTTAATGAGATTATTGATCCTCAATTATTGGGGTGGTTAAAACATGTTATGTTAGATGAAAAGCCGATAAGACTATTATTTATGGACAAATCAATGAAATTAAAGATGATAAGTCCTAAATTTTGGCGTGAAATTCATCTATGCATATAGTTAAATAGCATTTGGGCACTACATTTGATGTCGGTTCGTGATGGGAACCGCAACTCCTAGCTTTCAATCTTAATCGTAATTCCTTACACTAATCTATAACCCCCTTCTGACCCTATTAAGTAGGTGGGTTCTCAAGATCATTTTATTGTCTCTTAAAAGTTGTCCATAAATTATAGTCTCAACGAAAAACCTAGACATGGTTAAGTCAAGACATAACATCATAAAGTCATTGATCTTGATCTGATCCATGTTAGTAGGTTCACAATTATCATGACTATTGGTTGGAGACGTTAGGTGACAGCTCAGGACCATTAACCCTATCCACATCTAGCTTTGTTTCAAAATTGTTATTCACCTTTTATTCTGCGAATCTATTATCTCTTCTTGCATCACATCACTTACATCTGATCCTTTCTATCACCACTGATATAATCGCTTTTGTCACTCTGATGCTCATCAACTGTACCGATGTGATGTAACCTATACCGATGCTTATGTAACAGTTTCTATGTTCTTTCTAACTGACTGATTAACAACATTTTGAAATGTATTCCCATGTATCTCAGTTGCTTTTAAATAAAGTAAATTTCACATAATTCTTCTTTTATAATTTAGTGCTATGCATATCCTACCAAATCGTTTGCTTGGATGTGTTGGATATCATATAGACACAGCGAATAATGTCACTAGCGGAGCAGATTGTATGACACTGTCTGTTCATCCAACAGAGAATATAATTGTATCAACATGTCCAGCTAGTTCTTCAATCAAATTTTGGAATACATCTAAATTTATTGAACATGCTGAAAATGAAACTGTAGAACTTCGTTTACCAAAAAATCAACGAAAATTACCAAGTACAAAACATAAAGGTGTGAAATCACGACGTCTTTGTTTAACTGATACCAATGAACGTATGGAATATCTTGAAGGTCTTCTACCAGAAAAACAAAGCATGTTATCTTCAAATAATTCTGAAAATTCTACATCACATGATGATAGTTCCTCAGATAGTAATATGTAAACTTGTAAATTATATGCCAAAATCACTTTTCAATATGGTAAACCATTCATTTTTCATATGTATATAAAAGCATAGATTGTAATGTTTGCAGACTCTTTTATCTGGTTTCTTATGTTTACAATACTATTCTACTCTTCTGTATGAGGTTCTATATCATCTTTGCATATCTGAACATAGTTAGCATATCTTCTTTTTGATAAACCTTTGTATTCTTTCACTTTCTTTAATTTTAAAGTACTTTTTGAGCATATTAAAGAACATTTCAAATGAATATCTTGAAAGAAATGTACATTTGTTATGAATGTATCATTGGGCAACTGTATATTGTTTGTATAAGTTTGTCTTTCATTTGCTGGTCATCAGAATTTTCCACTGATAAATCGACTTCTTAATTCATTATCGTTATGTATTACGTTTGCTTACATGTTTCAGTTCATACATTCATAGTGGGATCCATAGATATTCATTTGACTATCTTCAAATATAGGATAATTCGCTTCCCGAATTTAAGAGAATTTATAGAGGGAGGGTTTTGTATACGAATAGTTTTAAATATGTTTGCAATTTGGAATGTCACTAGGAATTAATGAGCCCCCAAATGTAGTGGTACGACCGAGAGTAGGGCGATTCATCTGTCCCTCCCAAAATACTATCATGGGCATACAACTGCTGTCAAAGAAGTTCTACTCACGGAGGTGTTGAATGAGTGATGTAGGTTTATATAATGAACAGTCTTATTACAAGTTAATTTTCAATTTACTTACTTTCCTCTCACCAGTCGATGTTGTAAGATCCTTCCAGTGTGTATAGATTTACAAAACTCATAAGTAATTCCTTGCAGCAGAATTTCTTTGTTACGTTTTCCAACACATGACGTTTTCTAAAATCAAGCACTGGGTGCTCGCTTCGTCCTAGTATGCAACTCATCATTAGTGCGCGTTCATAAGCCCATACAATGAAATCTAACCCAGGACCTTCGGTCCTACAAACCTCTGAACAGGCATCCAACGGTGCTATTGTTGAACTCCAATCAATCACCGTCATTTATGTTTCTCTGTGTATTTAAATATATTTCGTTTATTCTTGGTTTTTTCGCAATTATTATTTTCATTATATGTGTGATCAGCTCTTTGACATCGTTAGGGATTCCGGTTACTACTTCTATATTATTCTACTTAATATTGCCTTCTGGTCGTCATCATAATAAATTACTGTCCTTCACTTGCTCTTATATGAACGGATTAATTTTATTCTGTATCTCTGATATTGAAACGTGTTTTCTGTCTGTTGGGAGTACTTGTTGTTGGTAACCGCCAATTAATTGTGTAATTCTAACATTTCCTGTGTAAATATTTTACAGTTTATTACTCACTTGTTTTATTCGCGTTGCTTATTCCCATGAGGCGAAATAAGAACACCAAGACTAATACAAGTGAAGATTTATTAAATCCAAAGCACAATGACCCTAGTCGAAAATGTACCCATTCATATATTGATTGTTCACGTATTAGGACTATCAATTATAATAAAATCGCATATATATATACAACATAATTACTTACTACCTATCATGCTGAGCTTTGTTGACGTGCATTTAATACAAAGAATATCGTATCTTGAATAAGCATCACATTTAAATAAATTAATGTTATACCGTAGGAAATATCACACTGGATAAACAAATGTTACTCTAAATAATCGTCATATTGAGTTGAAAAACGGAGTTAATGTTGAGCAAGAAACATAATGAGTTAAAAATGTGAATTCTCCTTCTCATGCCATTGTGCCACTATACTTTTTCTTTTGTTATAATGTTGTTCCTTAATTGATAGGAACATTCGCTGTACTGTGGCTAGTAGCCAGTTAAAATTTTGACGATTTTAATTGCTTAAGGTAGTACAGTTGGGTTTTTTCAAGTGTTGATATAATTAATGTCTATACATGATGAAGGAAAATATTATTTAGATATATTTTATCTATTTTATAATTACATTAACACCGATGGCAGCTCAGTGTTTTAGAGGTTAGACGTTCGTGTGTGGGATCAATGTTGCTGTGTTCGACTCCTGCATGCGAGGTTGTGGATACGCACTGATTAGGAGTTCCACACCAGAATGAAATGGTCATCCAGTGCTTGGAGGTTTACAGTATTGGTTAGACATTGATCGGTTCATGACTTCAATGAAGCTCAGCAATCTCCATGACCTTGTACCAGTAATTATACGTATTTATTTGATACCACACATTGACTCTATTTTCTGCAATGTTCTATGAGAAAATCATTGTCCATTATTGTTTTGGGGCACATTTGGATCGAAGTGCTTCACTGAACCCCTCCAGTATTACCAATAATTTTGGGGTTTACAGGCGTAAAACTTTGAAATTAACTACAGAGTTTAAACAAGAAATCTAAAACCATTTGGCGTTTATGAAGTTTGCGGCTATGTCGATGAGAAGCAACAAAATTGTTGCATGAAAGTAACTTTTGAAACCACGTCTAAAGTTTATAGGTCATGAGTCTCACTATAACTGCGATACCTATATAACGAAAGAGCATTCAAATATTGATAATTTGTCATAGGCTATTCAGTCAGTAGTCTGTCTTTGTCTTTCCTACAAGCAAAACGTCTCAATATTCCACAGAACACTAAGCTCGACAAAGAATAATCTGGTAATTAGTTTAGAAGTAGGACAATATAATCGGAATATTGTATTTCCTAGTATTCTAGAGTGGCACAAAAGAGATCTATTGATCGACCAATCGCCCCTGTGCAATTTTATGTTCCGAAGTGTGATATATTCCACTCGCCATCCAGCTTTTCTCACCGTAGAGGTGAGTCAATCAGATATAATATAGCAAGTCTTCAATTTTGGCGCAAAATTCGCTCATACATTCGACTAAATAACATTTTGGAATTACAGCTAGTGCCAGTTCGCGATGAAACTTAGACTCCGAGTCCTAATCTTAACGTCCAACTCTAAATTCGAATTCTAACTCCATGCACTAATCTTTAACCCTATTAAGTAGGTGAATATTCTCAGTTTTTTTTAATGTTGCTCATAGGTCGTCCATAAACTATAGTCCCACTAAAAAATCCCGTGACTTAGCACGTTATTCGTAAATCTATGCACATTGAACAAACGCATTTGTGGACCATATGCATCATTATCGTTTCATTGTCTCTCTCTGATGTTGGTCATACCTCAGCTGTTATAAAAGACAGTGTGGTTAAACCGATTGAGATCGACCCTGAACTCCGTTGCGCTACCTCTCAGACTTATGTAATTAGCAGGTATTATGTATTGCAACTGGAGCGTTGTCAAGTTTTGAGTAATCCTTGAAACTGTTATGACCATATTATGGTCAGGTGACAGACTGAATCATAACTACGTTTATGACTGCCCTGAGAAACGCCTTTGTAGCTTCTTCATATGGTCTAGGTTTTCTGCAAATATCTGGACTTATCTCTTGATAATTGTGTTTAAAGTGGAGTCTAGAAAGAAACCAGAAATCGCGAAAATTATAAAAACACTACATTCAAAGGCTTGGCCTTCATTAACTTAGAAATCGTCGAAGCCTTTGAAACTAATTTTATTAGATAACTAAACTAAGCCTATGTTATAAACACAAATGATCTGACTAGTCAGTGTCAAAGGTGGCTTAAAAAGAAAAATATTAAATACAAGGTCGCATATCACTACCACGGCAGCCTTGTGTCTAGAACGATGCCACTGGATATAACCACAATTATTACTCGCTCCAAAAAACCAAAGCACAAGCACAAAGAAATCAACTAACTAGTCACAAAAGTTGGTCGTAAAAAGATGCGTCGAAGTCTTTATCCATTCACAATATGCCTTAGATTCTAAGAAGCCGCCTTTCGGGTTGAAATCAGCGGACTTATCTCAAATTTCTAGAAAGGAAAAAAGTAGTACAAACTGAATCAAGCCTATAGCCCTGCTTACATCACTCTCGAAAAGATAGAATGTTTAACGGGTGATCATCGTGGAACATCTGAAATGAGTTCAGGAAATTTGTGAGTATGCACTACTCACAGATTCATCTAAAGAGTTTTATAGTGTAGTAAAATTTATCACACTGAAAAAAGAGTAAATCAGGTTCTCAGATCCATTTTTTCTCCATCAAGAAACTGCTTTGAGTGCTGAACATCTTACATCGAATCCTACAGGGTTAGATCAGACAGGAGTATGCCATTATCTGAGATTTACCAAGGACCCATTCAGGGACCTCTACTGACACTAATGTTTATCACTAAACTCTGCTCATCAAACCTTAGTTTCTTAGCTCCTCTCCACGCGGTAGACTTTAAACTGTGAAAAGCAGTCAGATGTAGAGCTTATACACACAATCTAAGTAGATCTGGCAATACTGGAGAAATCGGCACTCAAAAACCGTCTGACACCACATCTCTGGAACTCTCGAACCATTATAATTAAAACAAAACGGAAGCATCATGTTGAACCCCCTCTCTGCGGTTATCACCTCTGCAGTACATCATTGGAGAGCGATTTAAGCTTATTGCCACAAGAACGCTTAGACTTTAGCGGCAGCTGTCAAAGAGATGAAACCAAAATCTACGCTGCTGTTTCCTTCGTAGCTAAGAGTTCAGAATCTTCAGGTCTTTTCGACATTGCTCAAGACATATATCGATTTGCAATTATAAATCTACAAAACCTTTGTACCCACTCTTCACAGAAAAAAATAATCTTATGAATCAAGTACACAGGGATGACAAAATGTTGGCCATAGGAAGATCCATAACACCACCTAGGAATTTACTCGCTGGATTACAAGGTATCAACTTGACTATGACCTGCAACACACTGAGCACTTACGCTTGCCTAAATATAAACATCCAACCAGGACCTCAACATCACACTTTAGGAAGTTACTCACGAAGAATGGCCTGCTAAAGATCAAATGATTTGATGACCACACTTATTCTCATTGTTGGGTCGGTCCCATCTGGGGAGATCCTTCACCATGCGTGATAACAGTTTAACCAGTAGACAACCTTAAGAAAAGGCTTCAAAGCCGATCCATAGCTACCGGCCGGTAGCTTAAACTTTTACTGCGTCGGCCTTCTTTGAAAATTGATGTAATGTGCGCCAGCACATAATTTTCTGGAGCCGTTCATTAGCTCAGTGAATTAATACAAGTCAGGCCAATCGGTATGAAACGGCCTGGCCATGTAGATGTGACCATTTGCGTGACTTATCCTATTTAATATAAAATATATTTTTCTACACTTCAAAAGTAGTAGACTTTATGTCACTGACTCGCGATTTCCGGATTAGGTCTATGGCTATAGTTGCAAAGTGCCCCTTACGCCGAATTAAAACAAAATACTACAAGTTCCTTGACTGTTTGAACTGAATGTATATGCTGTCGTCACTAGGGGAACCAGGTTTGAGAGGTCATCAATTAGGAATCCTTCGTTGACTAAGATGTAGTCTAAGCATGAAAGCGTCGGTCTATTTGCTTATTGAGTTGCTAAACTCACTTCAAATAATCCCAACTCTTTAATGAGGTTGAAGAACCTAACTTTAGTGGAACCATCACCTGCATTCCACATTTGTTCGCAGAAGTTGATCTTAGGGAGACTGAAGTTCCCAATATCAGGATATGAGTACATCTAAGACAAACAGAACGGAATAATCTTTCCAGCTTACGACTTCCGTACTCGGTTTCAGCTGTAGTCTTTCTACAGGTGACTCCAACCAGACATCTTGAGGCAGTAATGATAAATAATTCTTCAAAATTAATGGTTCTGTAGATCTTCAACATTGGTGCTGATCACATTAATTTTACTAAACACACCTCGTTGAGGGCGCTCGGTCAAGTATCCACAACAGATCACGAGTGGGTACGCAGTGCCACAAATACCTTGCAACTGTTAGCCAGCTTAGACCGAACGCTTCTCGACATATCGACATCTTTCCAAATATATCTTCGAAAACCTCCACTTCTGACTTCTTATTTGAATGGGTATTATGTGCAAGTGTTGTGAAACTACAGATACCTTTGGCGTCCTGATGTTAAACAACATACAGATTCACTAACATTAGCAAACTCCTGAGTGTACACTCGAGGTTCTATCAACTAAGATCGTTGATACAGGGCTGCTCAACCTCCGTTCCCTTTTTTTTCCGTCGCTGTGGAACAAACGAATGCCGGGTATTATCAGCTCCTGGTCCGTAACCTGAGATAACCAAGTTTCAGATATTCCTGTGTGATGTGTAATGGTTCACACAATCTATCCATGTTAATTGGCTTATCCTTAGCATTCACATATAAACAGTCAATGCTTTCGATTCGAAACGCGTCCGCATCCTTGTATTGTTTGCCTGAATGAGAATTATGTGAATGGACAGACAACTAGCCTACACAGGGTTTATCGAGTTTGTAGATCCCGTTCCGTCCACGTTTTATGTTTATTTTCGACAGATCATGAATGGGATTTCCAATTTTCTTTTGTTCTTGATCCTTGCATCATGTGACCTGTCACTCAAGATACCGGCACTGGGGTAAGTCAGGGGTTTTCGCGCACATGCTGCATAGTTTCGTATTGTTATCTATCAGCTATTAACAACCTCTTTCCATCACACGTCAATTTTTTAATGTTTGTGCTTGTTACGTAGTTTTTATTCCAGTTTATTAGCAGTTTGACGTATTTGTTGCTCACCACCTAAGTGAATCTTTAGTAAGCCTAATATGGATATTTGTAACAACACAAACTCAAGCAAGTAAAATTCACCATTTTTCGAGTGAAAAAAGATCACAAATTGAGTTTTCAGGAAAATCAGCTTTAAAACCTATTACATCTGGTTCCTCTCCTTGATTATGGTAATGATGAAAATGGATGTTGGTAGTTGTTTATAAAATGTTGATTGAAGCAATTAAGCTTTAGACTATTTACAACATATTCTAATTCACAAATAACCACAACTCGGACAAGAATTAGCGAAGTCGAGTAGCTAGACTACCACCCACTGGACATGAGCGAATACTAGGAACCATACCGAACCTGCACGAAGAGAGCTCAAATAAGTTTATACCATACCTGGTACCGCGAAGAGCGAATAACAGTCCACCATGGATAACTAAAACAGTCAGGAAACTTCTTAGAAAAAGGAAGAAGCACTGTAGTATGTTCATCTCTACTGGCTTAAAACAATAAAGATCCAGTTATTGTAAGATTAGGAATGCCTGTAAAGCGTTAATAAGTAAGACTAGACGATCATATGAAAAACAATTGGTTAGGGATTCTAGATATGGTTCGAAACGGTTATTCTCGTATATAAAATTGCAAACTCAGAGAAGCGATATAATTCCATCACTTTGATACAAGAAAATGAGTTAATCTTGGCAGAAAATGATATCGAAAAAGCTGAAGCTTTTTCGGAATATTTCAGTAAAGTGTTTTCTATCAGTAATAAGAAACGACCAACGATTCATTGTATTCGTAGCAGCTCGCTGATGGACCCTGTAGTCATTGAGAAAGGTACTGTTTTAAGGCTACTTCAGCATCTCAAACCTGATAGGTCCAGCGGTCCTGATGATATTCATCCTCGGATTATGAAAGCCATATCTGATGTAATTGCTGAACAATTAGCGATACTGTTTGACATGTCTCTGAAGCAGTTCAGACTGCCCAGAGGCTTGAAAGACTCTTTAATAAGTCCGGCATATAAGGCTGAGAGTAGGGATTTAGTTAGTAACCATAGACCCGTTAGCTTAACTAGTGCAGTTGTAAAACTGATGGAAAAATCATTTGGATATCTGTTATAAACTAAGTTGAAGGGCATAATATTTTCTCCAGGGGACAACATGGTTTTCAGGGCGGCCTATGATGCTTGACAAATCTTTTCATTGAAGAGAAGATTGGGTTGCTGCAAAAAATCGGAATATTCCTGTGGATGTGATCTTCATAAATCTAAGTAAGGCCTTCGATAAGGCCTCCCATTCTGGACTTAACTTCAAACCGGGACATTTTGGTATCCATTATACAGTTGTAGATTGGATAAGTACCTTTCTCCATGGCAGGAGACAAAGGGTAAGGGTTAATGGGGCTCTCTCCTCATGGGTACCTGTAAAAAGTAGAGCTCCCCAAGGTACGATTCTCGGTTCTCTTCTTTATGAATTACCAACTGTAACAAAATCATCCGTTCAACTCTTCGCTGATGACATAAAAATTTTGAGACCCATACAGAGTATGTCGGATAGAATAGCATTTCAGAATGATCTTAGCTCATTGGTGTCATGGTTGGACAGGTGGTCATTAGAAGTAAATTATAATAAGAGTAAGGTTATGCAATTAAATAACATTGCTGAACCGTATCACTATACAATATATGTGGATTCGTGCTACCCAAAGTGAGAAACTATAAAGATTTAGTAGTCATATTAAGCAGTGATCTCAAAACCACTAGTCATTGTAAGGCTTCTGCTGAGAAGGGCTATAGGTTATTGTGGTCTTTTCGTAGGTCTTTCCAGTATTTAGATAATGAAATGTTTAGATTATTATGACAGATTTATGTGCGACCACATTTAGAATATGGGATTCAAACAGCGATTCCTTGTTTCAAGTATGGGGCAGATATGCTGGAAAGAGTCCAGCGACGAGGTACTAAGATGGTACAAAGTCTACTTGGATTATCTTATCAAGACAGACTGAGACACCTTAATTTATTTCCGTTATCTTACCGTAGAATACGAGGTGATCTAATATTCGCTTATCGTATACTGAACGATGACCTTAGTATTCAAATGCCTTATCCTTAACTCCCGTCTAGGACGGATCATTTGAGAGGACATTCGAAGAAAGTTCAAAAACCGAGATCGAATCGTTTACGTCTGAAGATTCGTTTCTCGCATCGAGTAGTGAATTATTGGAATTCTATACCGGAACACTTAATATATTCAAAACGCGATTGGACCTTCACATTATTACAAACTGCAAGGACTAATATAGGTTGACAGACCTCCTACCCTTATTACTGAAGACTGAAGTCAACCAATATGTTTGGTATTGGATGTGAAACCCAGTAGGTGAACTGTGTCTGCTGACTACTCTTATTGGTTGGTGCCAAAGATATAATGCTATACAGTAACGTCGAGGAGAGATAGTAAAACAGTCAGTAGGTTTATAATAGTTAGTCATGAAGATATTGATTATTGTATGGAGTTTCAGGTGTGACTTTGTAGTTGCGCCCTTGAAGTGAGATTTGTTTGTGTTGGCTACGGCTGACTATAAGTCTCCTCCAGTTTGTATTTTTGGTTTGTTGTTGCTCACAACAAAATCACATAATCAACGGATCAATGGAGTTGATCAACGTATATTGACATTCAAGTACATTGTAGAGTGGTTTATAACAATTCACTTTGTCAGTTTCCACATGCTGATTTCCGTAGTGAACCCAATCTCCCTGTTGTGGGGACAATTAGTTTCAGCCCTTCCACGTATATTTTGTCTTATAGTCTTTCTTGAGAGATAAATTTGCCAGTCCTGCAGGACTGGTTTGTTCACAAGAAATTATCCAAATTCAAATGATCTACTAATTCTGGTCCCAAACTCCCAATTCTGTGGAAAATTTGGCATATTTTGGGGAAGCCGTTATAGTAAACTTTGAGGAAATGGCACAAAACCTAAAATTTCCCCAAACTTGGGGAAATTCTCCAAAATTTTCTCCTAACCTTGGTCAAGGTCACTTGACTGTGGGGATCTCCCAAACATTTACCCAGAGTTCCTCGAAATTTCCCAAAACACTGGTCAAGGTCGTTTGACTTCGACAATTTCTTCAAATTTGGTAGCTCGGGGTGCCATTTCCACAAAATGTTCTATAGCAGCTTCTCCAAAATTTCCCAGGACGGGTAAAATTTTCCCCGAAATTGGGAGATTGGACACCTAAAATCTGCACATTGGGATTTCACTGAGTTTACTTAGATCTAAACTTCGAGTGTTATTTATTGATGAAATGCATGGATAAGTCAAACGCTGCATAAAAGTGAAAAAACTTGTAACTGGTTGTCTGTTTTTTTTTATGTTTTCTTTCAGAACCTGTTGTAAGTTGAAAAAATACATTTAAAGCTCTACCAACTTTAGGGAAATACTAGTAATTAAAATCTGATAGACCTGAAGTGAAGCTTTGAACTTTCAGTTTTAGTCGTTAGGTTCTATAATCCAGAAAAATGGCCCAACAACCTAAAAATGGAAATAGTTCATTAAAAAAACTATTCTCTGACCTTAAATGAAAAATTGCTTTGCATAATATTCTGAACGCCATGGTACCTGGTTAAGTGCCCTGTAAATTAGCATCGTACTTTCCTTGAACCTAACAAAAACCATATATTTGATCGTTACGGCTGTATGTTTTATATTTTTACAAGTTACTTATGCCGTTGATCTTAATGTCGTTTGTTTTCTTTTCATTAAATATATTTCAGGTCAGAACCGTGTAACCCTAAAATTGGCTGGTTTCTAATTTTACAACCTCTACGTAACGTCTTCGGGAAAAGCTTCTGACTACATATAGTCAATGTCAGAAGGGCGATGTCTCGGTGCTGTTAATCAGAAAACAAAGGTTAGTGTGCTAATATTTGTAGACCTACGTAAATATGCATTTTTAGTGTTGGAATGTCTCCTCATGGATAAAGAATAAAATTGAGGATGAAGGTGTGCAAGCACGAAATATAATCAAGTATAGCGTGCCCATCGATAATCCCAGTTCTCGTAAGTTGTATGCAGACGTCTTTTAGGATGTTCAAAGTGCCATTTTAGCTTCTGTTTACAGGGATTCTAGTTTTCTTTCGTAACCTAGTCGATACACCGATTTTCGACTTAGAGATATTCAAATCAAAAAAGTTATGGTTGATTGTAGTGAAAGCAGTAGTTTAATGAACGAGGTAATCAACTCTTAGCCTTCGAATTATGAGTTTGAACCCTCCTCACCTACTTCATTTTTATCATTTAGAGTACCGTGGATCTCCACTTACACACAAAGATATGTAGGTCAGAGTTGAGGGCTTAATTACTGAATGGTCTTGTTTAAACTAATTTTATGACAGTCTATACACTTCCATTGTAATATGAATGTTAGACCACCTGAAATATAATGGGGAAGAATAAATTTAAGGTCAATATCATCAACAATAAAAAGCGAATAAAAAGTTTTAGACTAAAATCTTTGTCACAATATTAACATCAAAAGTAACTTGGTAGGCAATGCCAGTTATTCCTTCAGTAATTTCGTTATGTATATTTGATTAAAATACTAAACTGTTGAATAAATGAATTAAAATACCAAGCTGCTTAATAGATATTGAGGTGTTACTCAAAGTTCTACTCATCCCTTATAATTTTTGTTCTGTTAATGAAATGATAGTGAAAGTCTAAGTAAACATTGCTGGTCTTTGTATCCACATTAGCAAATTCATCCAGTTTATGTATGACAGAATTCTTAAACTTATCATTTACTTCATTTACAGCCAGACGTTATGTTGCAAAGTGCGACTTCGCTCTGCCTTCCTCGACACTTGAACAAGATATAACGAACTCGGGAAAAAACAAAATCAAGATTGCAAATGGTGACAGTGCCATCAAGAACTCTCTATATTCTGAAGTTAATAGTTGTAATAACTCACATAAAAGTAGTAGTTTGAACAAAAACAACTTTTGCAAAGAACGAACTGCTTCCAATACACGTTCTGGTAGTCTGATATCGACAAATTCGAGAACCGTTTGCTCACAACTACATCGTCATTTTGACTCAGTATCAACAGTTCCCTATAGGCGTATTAATCGTGGAAGACCTCTAACTGAAAGCGAGTATAAGGCACGTTATTGGGGTCAAATGTTGGATACCTTAAGACGAACTATCGATGAAATATATTCAGCATGTGAAACAGATGAGAATGAAGTGGAGTGTAAGGTGAGTTTCTAAACTACATGATTTCGATATTCTCAATAATATTTCGTACGGATTTTCCGTGACTTTAAGCAGTAATATAATCAATGCAAAGCATTTCTTCAAAACTGACACTTTATGGTGAGCCGTTGTAAAATAATTAAAATGGTTATGCATCTCGGCGGCTATATAAGTCCCGGTAGTGGCTTGAGAGATCAGACCAACCTACATATCGCGAAAACCATAGTGGTTTATACCGATTTGGACCATCTGTGATGCCGTTGCGATACTAATTCGGCTGTAAAAAATCAGGTTTTGGTAATGACACTTTTTTGAAGTACTACTCTTGTAACCTATTTCTTCCGAGCTGAAGATGTTTGGCGAATTCATGTGTTCGGCCATGGTTGCTTCCGAAGGATTACTTTCATCAAGTGTTAGCGCCTCACTAGTAATCTTAAACTCCGTCAATGTGTGTTTAGACCCGGCAGTGATAACTCATTTAGTGTCACAACCTTGAAACTTTAGATTCAGTAGCTCGAACGTGTTTTACAAACACTGTTCGAATGGTATCCACTCTGAATACTATTTACTAGTACTTGAACTGATTTGAAAAGATGGCAAGGTAGTCTTTTACAACTCATTTCGTGCCGTTCCAGAGAAACGTTATCAGGCAACGCCATTCATAGAAGTTACTAGCGATTGCACTGTAGTTCTCTACTACATTCTTCAACACGTGACGAATCTATCTAGCTAAATAAAATCTATCTCATTCGTATTTTCAATTGTGATGTCTTGTCCTAGTTTTATCGTCATCCATGTATTTACTGATTATCTGATCCCTCTATTACTTTATCATATCATTCTATTTCGAATGGAACACCATGTTTTGCATCCTATTATCCTTATAATGTTTGTATTATCAATCAAAAAGATAAATTCTGTCACTTCAATTCATATTACAAACTACTGAATTATCAATTTATTTAGGAGGTTATCATGATATTGGAGCACAGTAAGCAGGACTTCTTTTCACTGATAGAAAAAATGAACTTGTTACGTGATTATGAACAGGCTGATGCACATAACAGGTAAGTGCTTGACTGGTCATTAATTTCTCAATTGACCTTGTGTAGGTTTTCTTAAAGCAGACAAAGCGTTATTCTATTTTAAGAATATATTTTAAGAATATTTTTAACCGTAGAAATGTTTGTGGAAAGTGTAATACTAGATTTGACTATGTCTGTTACAATCGATACTACAGTTGGAACGTTGCGACGTTACATTTAGAACTATTTCATTTAGCAGAAAGTCGGTTGAAACACTTTTCCGAATAAGAAGTCTTCTGACTGCATGCACTGACTGAAGAGTAATTTTTGACAAACGTATCTTCATTCTTTTAGTAGGTATGATTCAATTATTGGTGGTGTTCGAATATGTTGGTGATGTTTAGTGCTAATAGATTTATGAGTGTGGTCATCACTTCATGGTTGTTCATATCGAAAAATGACCCTTGTTCTTGCAAGATTTAAAGAAAAAAACTGGGTTGAGTTTTGATCTTGACGACCTTGTAGCGTGAGCATTGAGACCAAGGGACATTTGGTTCAGGCCGGTCACTTTTGGCTTCTTTGTGAATAGTTTTTGATGAGTTGACTCCATAGTTTTTAGACTATGCTATCGGTTATGGAAACCTGTGAAACGTGGAAAGATGTGACAATTTTAGGCTCAACCTTTCCTGACATTTTCCCTTGGACATTATGTGAGTTACTACAGGAAACTGTTGTACGTATTATATTTCTTTAGAATTATCTCGTTCTTTTGACATTCCTACATGACACCGTTACAAATATCCTATTCAGTTCATCTTATCAAAATTGAATTATTGAAATAAATTCACTGTAAACGGTTTCTGCTGCACACTTGTAAATCATTTGCCAAGCACAGGTTTAACGTATATTCAACTCTGAGTTACATGGTTTGATACTATCGAGCTAACTGTCCAAACTAAAGACTATGAAGCAGGGCTTTAATCTGAAACTTATTAGTTGAAAACCTAGTGTTTTAAACATTGCTTCACACATAGTAGGAAATTTTGTTTATCAAATCTTTTTAAAACTTTTGTATTGTGTAAACTGCTTCTCTCCCAGTTTATTTCATTCCAGTTTTATTCTACATTTAGACCAAACTCTCTTGCATGGGATGAACGCACTATCCTGCCAGGAAAACCGATTATGTGTCAAGTATTAGCTTCAACAGGTGTGGTTACATCTGCTCAACAATCTTATCTTTCCACCCCATTAAGCATGAAATCGGATAGTAGTGTCATAGAGGTTGCAGATAGCGATTCTGATATTGGTTGTACTAAATCCGGTAATCGGAACCATTCATTGAACAAACTTAAATTAAACATAGCAATTAATGGTAATAAACATCATCATGATGATGAATCATGTACTCGTCCACCCAATAATTCAATGGTGGTACCAAATTTGTGTAATCTTGACAACGAACCATCTGATGCAAATGACGAAGATGATGATGAAGTTGAAATTTATGATGATGACGAAAGCGTAGGACATCATCGTCATCGTCATCACAAAAGACAACAAATATCTACCTTCACATATTTGGTTGATGACGATGCTGATTACGTTGACCGAGAGGGGGAGGATAATACATTATCTCATGATCTGGCAAAATTAGATAAAGTAAGTCTGAATTCCTGAATTTTGCATTACTGTATAGTTGGGTTTAACAAATGCAAATAGGGGTTTTGAAAACTTTCCTTTTCACAAAATGTTGCCGGTTACCAATGGTATACCTACCTGCAATACTTATCGTTATCCTAAACTTCCTAGGAATCCCTGAGAAGCTAGGTTGTTCAGGTGCTGTTTCACGTTTTGTTAAGATTATATTTACATACGATTCATCAGTACTTGAGTAGCCATGCAACAATAAATCTGACTAGACCACGCAAGAAACAGTACGTATTCAATGTTTTCATCAGCACAGAAGATAGACACTTATTCTTGCTTGGTATATCTACCCTACAGTTTTTACAGTTCTAATAGAAACGGTTAATTCACTTGAAAAGAACTTTTTCAACAGATTTTCAGAAACAACCCTCAACATTAGGTATATTTCAAGAGACATTTTTCCAAGTTTTACCAGGTTTTTGATGTCTCTCGTTTTGCGTATTTATTGGGTTGACCATGTATTCAAGCGTCTTAACGAGTGTTTTAAGGTTTTTACCAATGAGATATTCACCTGATATATTCGATTCACCTCTTCTGTTATACATCTTAAAAAGTAGTTTAATCGTTAGAGTTTAATCCAATGCTAGTTATATTTTACCGGGAATAACTTGGTGATTGTTTCTTTCTCGAATTAGATTCCTTCTGGATAACCGTTAACTGACTACCACCGCATTCACTTACATCGACTGAAGTTTTTTTGAACATTTAAGAGGATCCGTAATAGCTTAATTGTAAGATCTAACTCATTATCTAAAACCATTTATAACCAGTCCATATTTTTTGCAAAAATGACACTACATGGATTATAAATAAATAAGATGAAAATGAATAGACAAGATAAAAACCAAGGTGTTTAGCACTAAACATATATATATATATATATATATATATATATATATATATATATATATATATGGTCCGTGTAGCATATGTATATGTCCTTCATGATAAACATTCGAAACTGTTGGTCGTTCCCGTTGAGGTGAGACGTGGAGAGCTAGAATAAATTGATCACCAAATGGGTGAATCTGTAACCTCCATCGACTGAAGTAGTTGGGATATGTGTTGTTTATCGTAGAAAGCTTACAGTTGGTTGTTTAACAATTTCTTTCTAGTTGTCTAGTACTCAAGTTGAATAGTAAAGTCGCCGAATCAGTTGTAGTATGAGTGGTAATGAGAAAGACTGGATATTGAGAATCTGACATAAAAAGATAGAATGAGGTGTTTATGAAGAAATACGACGACTCAATATCTAGTTTACGATAATAAACAAATGCATCATAGTCACTGTAACTAGTTGTGAGCCATTCCAACCGCTGATCGCGGTCATCAGGCAGGCTTCAGCCAAGTAGTCTTGATCTGTTAGCATGAGTCATATTTATAGTTGTCAATATCTCCACAGACTGATGCCATATTTTTATTTGACCATCTCTAACATTTTTCCAACCTAGTCTTATAGTAAGGAATATCGCCTATCATGGTTGGGGGTGTTTAGGTATACGCAACATCCGTCCTAACCACCTTAATCGATGAAGATTTATAACGTCATCAACTGATTTATAACTTCCCACTGGTAACTGACCTCCAACCTTAGTGTTGCCCACTCAATCGTTCCACTGTAAGCAGACGGTCCTTCGATGATACTATGGTGGGAACCTGAGGCCTTAGAGTGTCTTCTGCCCCCAAATGCCCTGGTACGGCCGAGAGTGGGGTGGGTTCGCCTTCCCTCTGGAAATACTCTCACATGGCCACGCGTATATAGCCTCTGCCAGGGAAGTCCTACTCACTGCATTCTCGTGGCATTACTGTTGTTTACGAAAATGAGAGGACGAAAAGCGAATGTCCGGCGCTTTAACCGGATCCCAAATCAATGGTGCACATGGGCTCCAGTATCCTGAAGGAACAAATGGCGTACGAACCAATTTCTTGGTCACCGGCTACCATGGGACTGCATCTCCTTACGATGCTCCACTGCCTTGTGGATCAAACCTTTAGGTCGAAGGCTCGGGGTGTGGCCCCCTAAGAAAATCACCTGCTTCAGTCTGGGCACCCGGTCAGTATCACAGCCCACACACAAATCAAATGAGATCTGTGTGACGCATATCTATTTGGTGCCTCCATGTACCGATATCTATGTTTTCAGTCAGTCAGAGTGTCTTCTACTTTCATAGTCAGAGTAATACGCATCAGATTTATGTGCAATATACCCACCCTTGAGTTAGCAGACAGACATCCCAACTACGTCACAATACAAGTTGTTGCTGTTGTGCTTATTAAGTCGTTCAACTAAAATGGTTAACAGATTTTGCATCACACAGAATAAATTGGACTAAATTTGGTTTCGCTCAGTTTGTTTGTGCCAAATCTTGTGTTTATTTTTGCAGTTTACTAGTGACATCAGATGAAATCAATCTATGTGAATTGAAATCCAGAGATGCTCATATTAACCTGCATCATCTTTGTGTCATTTTGATGTTAGTCTGGTTGTAGTTGGTTGGGTCAACAACGTGTCAGTGAGAACACTTACTATATGTTTATGATATATAGATTCTCAGAGTTGAAGATAGTCGGTCATTCTGTGTTCAATCATCGTTTTTTCCTAGGGCTTGCTACCACCCATAGACAACAACATATTAGTAATGTTGAGGTTCGGCAATGTACGTTCCGGAGCAGTGACGATAGTTCGTTTGGTATGAAAATCTTGAAACACCGTTTTCGGTGGCTTGCTCATTTTTAGCGAAAGTCATCCCGTTGACTTTTAAGCCTGTGATTTTTTGTTAACTCGGGAACCGAATGGAAAAAAGTGGAGAGGTGTTCAGTTTATGACATGGCACTGTTGCATAAAACTAGCATCTGTCGACCCACCATGATTTTCGAATTGTCGTCTGAGTGGTGGTGTAATTTAGTGGCTTGAGACAGCATTAGCTGTGGCTCACAATAGAAATCATTGCTGATAGTGATATAGTTTCGTTTTACATTTTTGTTATATGTAAGAGGAGCTTCTTTTACGGAAGGAATTCTTCCTGGTTATAGTCTTTCATTTATTTATTTAAACATATAAACATTGGTACAAGGAAGCACCAAATAGATATGCGCCATATAAATCATTCAATTCGTGTGAGGGCAGGGATACTTCCCAGGTGTCCAAACCGAAGCAGGTGGTTTTCTTAGGGGGCCACACCTAGACCCTTCGACCTAAAGGTCTAATCCACAAGGCAGTGGAACGACATTAGGAGATACAGTCCCATGGTTGCTGGTGATCAACGTTCCGTTCATACACCATTTGTTCCTTCACGATCCTGGAGCTATTATGCACGATTAGTTTGCAATCAGGGTTTTTCAATTCCCCTAGGTGAATCCTCCGTATCCACCAACCCGGTTAAAGCTCCGGACATTCGCTTTTCGTCCTCTCAATTTCTTAAACAACACTTGCGCCTTGAGACGGCAGTGAGTAGGACTTCCCTGGCAGTGGTTGTATGCATGTGGCCATGTGAAAACATTTGGAGAGGGAGAGTTGATTCCCCTCTCGGCCGTACCAGGGCATTTGGGGGCTAATTGTCCGTCATTATAATCCATTTACATTGACTTATTTCTATTCATTTATCTATTTAGTTATGCTTCTCTTTATTGCTTTATCTCTTCATAATCTTATTTTCTTATTATATGGTGCATATTTATTTTGGTATCTATCTTTATCAATATTTATTTGTTTAAATAAAGAAATATTTCTTAAACTGTTTGTATTCAGAATTTGATAACTTGTCATTTGAGGCAGGTAATTAACCATCTTACATGACATCAGTCTATAAAGTTATTGAGTACTAGGAGGGGGGTAGATGTTGACTTCCTGGTTATATCCCCCTCAATAAATATATTGGATGATTTCAGATGTTTGGGGATATCGTTTAAAATCGATCAATGTGTCATAGTTGGATTAATTTCTTACTTCTCTTTAAAAAAATTCTCAGCTTAATATCATTTCATTTTTCTCATTTATATATGTACATTTCTCTTGGACTATATTTCTCATGTTAAACATTCCACCGTTATGGACTTGATTATTTGCTATTCTCTGATTCTCACTTTGTTAATATTCTATCTCACTATGTTAATATAAGTGAGATGGGCTACCTTCCTCTATTGAGATGGTGGAGATTTGTAGCTCAGGTGGATGATTTTGATGGAGTTTTGTTCTCTGAGCTGGATGGTTTGGTCGTGGAGTTTTCATCGTTCTTCTGAACGACATCATCATTTTATTTTTTATTTACTTAAACACATAAATATTGGTACAAGGGGGCACCAAATATATATGCGCCACACTTTTGTGTGTAGGCTGAGATACTGCCCGGGTGCCCAGACTGAAGCAGGTGGTTTTCTTAGGGGGCCACACCCCGAGCCTTCGACCTGAAGGTCTGATCCACAAGACAGTGGAGCATCGTAAGGAGATGCAGTCCCATGGAAGCCGGTGACCAAGAAATTGGTTCATACGCCATTTGTTCCTTCAGGATACTGGAGCCCATGTGCACCATTGGTTTGGGATCCGGTTAAAGCGCCAGACATTCGCTTTTCGTTCTCTCATTTTCGTAAACAACACCCGTAGTGCGAGAAGGCAGTGAGTAGTACTTCCCTGGCAGAGGCTATATACGCGTGGCCATGTGAGAGTATTTCCAGAGGGAAGGCGAACCCACCCTACTCTCGGCCATACCAGGGTATTTGGGGGCATAATCAGCACAAACTTCACATAAAAGTGAAGGGTTCGAATTTGTCCATATGTATTTCATAGCTTGTCGTGTACATCTCGATGTTGATTGGTTCTTGTTGTCCTTAAACCTGTTATTGTTTACTTCTTTGCTTTGCTTGTGTCTTCCATTGGTTTGATTTTTGTTCCTATGTTCGTGCACAGTTATGCACCATCCAGCTCAGAGAACAAAACTTCATCGAAACCTTCTGCTATGTTTGAAGTGATTACGAGTTCACCTAGTCTGTAAACAGAACAGTTTCGTGGGATCACCTGCATTATCTTCGACTGATCGCCTAATCAAACTTAACTTGTTTTTCAAATTGTATAATACATTGTTTATGATGTGTTCTTTCTATAAACATTCGATATATACATGAGTTCATTTCATTTTTTTATTTAAAAAAAAACATAAAAATAGGCTATTGCAAATGTCACTACAGCTGAACTTGTATTAACGCATCAGTTAGACAAAGCACAACTTGCTGAAGCTTCTTTACGTAGACGTTTAATTAAAGAAGAGAAAGCCGCTTTTATACGTTCAACTAGTGGTTATAATAAATTTTGGTATAATTCTCGATTAAAAAATCCTATGCATACAAATTGTCGAAATTCTGAAGAGATTGATGTTTGTGGTACTGCTACGACTACTACTACTACTACGACAACGACAACTGATGAAGTAGAAATCGACACAGATGTCGATTTACTTGATATGGATAGTATTATATTAGATGACATTGATGGTTGTGAGAAATCAATTCCTCACACAAGAAAAATTACAAAAAACAATAACAAACAACGAATGAAGGTGGTTCATTCACCGTTGAATTCTATCCATTGCTTTTCGGAGTATCGTTTAGATGATAATTCGAATAGAATTGAATCAAATGGGAAAGTCATAGATAATTCTAGCGTGGAACATTGCCATTGTTGCAGTTGTCATTGTCATAGACATAATTATACATTTAATCAGTCGTCTTCTTCAACTAAGTTTCAATGTTATGAGATCGATAGTCCATCGAAGAATTTTGAACAAGCTCAAAATACTCACCCACAAAGTTCTTCCGATTCAGCGTTATTAGACAAAGCTGGAAATCATTGCCAAACCAAATGTCCAGTGGAAACAAATGTAAATCAATATTATAATCAAAAACAATCAGGTAAGATAATGTTTTATAGTTTACATCATTCGGTTAAACAACCACGAGAAATAAGGAAACATTGGATTATAGCTGTCTCATCCTAGTACAGGGCTACTCATCAGTGTTATACATTTATGGATGGAGCCTAGTGCTTTCAGTCGTTGCAACGAGCTAGACATGGAAACCATTAGATGCTGACTCCATCGTTCAAGGATCCTGGGTTCGACTTCTGGCGGAGTCATACATGCACACACTACCATTGAGGAATCTTACAGTAGGATAAAACAGCCGTCCAATGCTTCCTAGTTTTCACTGTTTATCTGATCAAAATCAATCGCTGATGTCAATTTTAAAATTCAACAACAAACACAAATCCTCTAATACTTATATTAAACATTGACAATTTGACTTGTAACCTAATATTATTCTTACATATTTGGATTGATATCTATCAATTTATTATTTGTAGGAGTTATTGAATGTCTTAAAAGATGCAAACTTAGTAGTCGAGTCTCTTTAGATATTTGCAATCATTAGTTGGATCCATTCATTGTTTACCTTCCTCTAATCTCTGAACATATTACTTATTTCATTAGTTGAAATCATGAGTCAATTGAAGCTAGATCACCATGAAAAACCTGGAAGCACTGAACGGCTGTTTCGTCCTAGTATAGGACTCCTCAGCAGTGCGCATCCACGATCCACAAAACTTTTTCTGATATTACTTATTCTTCAGTTTTGTAGTCCTGATTATGTTATTATTAAATGAGAATTGATTACCTCAAGTGGTGTTCGTTAGGGCTGTCCACTCTCTCTATTCTAGTTTAAGTTTATCATAGATGTGCTTTTAGAGATAACACTTTCCTTATCTAAATTTACAGGGGTTGTACTTCTGCCAGGAGATTCACTTGTTGACTTTGAATATACCGATAATATAGTTCTATTTGGTGAAGACACTAATCATTGAACTAACTACTTCTATGAATTTGGTGTTCATCTTTCTGTGCTAATAAGATATAGCAACTTGGACCGATGCATATATATGCCTGGTCCTACGTTGTAGCTGACTGACTCACTGATTAAATGATCTTAAAGTTGATTATATGTATAAATTGGGCATTCATTTATTGCTTATATCTTAGAATGTTTTTAAAAAAAATTATTTTATAGAACAACCAACTTCTGAAGAGGGTACATTTAAACACTGTGATAACTTTGTGGATTCATTATCAAGACCATCGGAAATAAAACACAATGATGATATTTCAGAGGTCCCTGTTCAATCGAATTTATCATTATCATTATCACCATCATCAAAAAATACTATAATGTTGGAGAAATCGTTAAAACATATTGACTCAAATGAAACAATGTTGTCTATATCCACATCAGTAGCAACTACTCAAGGTATTCTTTGTTTTTTATTATTATTATTATTATTATCATCATTAATCATTTCAGATGTTAATATTTGTCCACAAGGATTATTATTTATTCCTAAAACAGAAGTAAAATCACGTATACCAGGTCATGGTGTACATATGCATGAAAAACTTTCAGCTCGTTCAAAAAAACGGTAACTATTCTTTATTGTTTGTTGTCTTTTAGCATAGTCTTTAAAACTTTTCATATGTTAATATGAATTTTTTTGAAAGAGTGATACAGTTGACATACTCCGAATGATCAATGAATGAATTCAGTTCATGTATTTATGGGGTTGAATCTGTCAGTTCATCAATTAGTCATAATCAACATAGAGGTTGAAGGAACTATACATTAGTCCAATTTTATCTATCACTTTAGCATAACAAGATAAATGACAAACATGTCGAAATAATTGTAGTACCAGTGGTAGTGAGGTAGATTAAACATTAAAAATCTAATGGTTGAAATCATGAGTCGATTAAAGCTAGATCACCATGAAAAACCTGAAAGCACTGGACGGCCGTTTCATCCTAGTATGGGACTCCACGATCACACCCTCCGCGAGATTCGAACCCAGGACCTATCAGTCTCGCGCGCGAGCGCTTAACTAGGTTTTTCATGATGGTCTATCTTCAATCGACTCATGATTTCTAAGAACCTAAACAAAACCCCTTTTGATATTAAAAATCTAGTTCAAGGAGATCAGATAAAAAGGTATATGTGAGAGAATGCTGAAACTCAAAATCTGGTGAATGTATCTTCATTACTGTAATTTATTCTCAGCCATTTCACACAACATCTCTAACCGCTTTTTATAACTATCTCTTTAATCTTAACCAGTCAGTTTACATTTCTTACATATCACTCAAACTAAATTAGATTGCTTGTAGATCAGATCCATAAATATTTCCTCGCTCCCACGATATACTACTATAATACATTAATTAGACCGGTGACCGAGATTATATTTCCACTAAGCTGGATAGTCGATATGCTATTCATGGACTAGACCACATTACATCAGATATTTGATTTACGACCAAATATAGAGAACCTGAGTATAAGCCAGACAATACTTTATACAGTACAACTACAACCAGTCTACACTCAGTAAGTCTAGGGTACGTATCAGTAATAGAGAAGAAACAGATTTCGCGCTCAAGGGCCGATCACATCGTACATCCACAACTATACATCATATTCAATCAGTCAGTTAGCTACAACATAGGGCCAGACACATATATGCATCGATCCAAGTTGCCACACCTCATGATAATCACCAAATTGATAGTAGTTAATTCAATGGTAGTGAAAAATCTTCATATAAGGATATGATACATGGAGAAAGAATTAGTTCATAGAAATGAGGGTTTTTAAGCAATTTCAATCTCACGGTTTAAGGGAAGATAATAAGTGTATACACCTACAACATTGTGATCGATTCTGAGCCATGTCATTCAGAGTCTCCAACCATTGGTTACGATTGTTGCACAGTGCACATCATAAATAAAAGATAAGTAACATTCTTAACATCTGACAAAACAAAAAAGGAAACGTTTAGAACATTTTGACCAATTTAAATTCAATGAAATAGTTAATAAGATCAAAATTGTGTTGTTGTATATATCAACAGCACTAATCTTGACAAATGCCCTGGTATGGCCGATAGTAAGGAAAATTATCTCTCCCTCTCAAAATGCACTCACATGGTCACGTGCATACAACCACTGCCAAGGAAGCCCTATTCACTACCTTCTCGTAGCCAGATAGTTGTTTACGAAATTGAGAGGTCAAAAGGCAAATGTTCGGTGGGGGCTTAAACAGGGTTGGTGGATACGGAGGGTTCACCTAAAAGAGTTGGAAAACCCTGATTTCAAATCAATGGTGCATATGGGATCCAGGATCTTGAAATAAAAAATGGTATGTGAACCAATCGTTAATCACCGCCTACCATGGGATTAGATTTGCTCACGTTGCTCCACTACCTTGTGGATCAGACCTTTATGTTGAAGGCTTCGAGTGTGACCTAAGAAAACCATCTGCTTCGCTTTGGGCACCCGAGTAGTATCAGAGCCCGCACACAAATCAAGTGACTTGTGTTACGTATATAAATTCGGTGCTCCTTTGTATCAATATTTATGTGTTCAAATAAACTATAATGCCGATAGCTTATGATTAGTTTCAACAACGATAATACGGGTTTAGAATTGGGATTTATGTATAATGCTGTTGATTTGCTTGTCATATACACAACTTCGCTTAGAGCTTTTCTAGAATGGCTATCGTTTCAAAGTCCGGATAAAAGAGTATAGTTCGGTAACAGAGAAAGAACTATGCACTTAATAGTATCATTTTTACTTTAATTACTTCTTGTCTACCCTATACTATACTGTACTATACTAGACTATGCTTTCATTGATTCATTTTTTTAATGAAAATGAAGGGATTTTCTTTCATTTTGATAAAATTGTAACTTTTTTTTACAAATGGTGATATTATTCGAAAAAACAAACTTTATAGGTCAGCTAATTCTATCCAAGAAATTGAAGAGAAACAAGCTCGTGCTAGAGTATTACGTCAGCAACATCTTTTGGAACGAACAGAACGTGTACATGAATTAAGCAAAAAGGTAATATGATTGCTAATTTTAATAGTTAAGATCATGAGTCAGTTGAAGTTAGACCACCGTGAAAAACCTGGAAACACTGGACGGTCGTCTTGTCCTATTATGGGGCTCCTCAGCAGTGCGCACCCATGACCTCGCCCCCTGCGAGGTTCGAACCCAGGACCTACTGGTTTCGCGCGCCAGCACTTAACCACTAGACCACTGAGCCGGCATCCAACGGTGTTAATGTCTAACTTCAACTAATCAACGCAATTGAGCGACACATTCAGTATTGTTATCAGTGAGTTACTATCTCACAACAGACCTGGTTGAACTCCACTGGTCACTACTTCTCACTAGAACTCCAGGATATACCTTTTCAAGCCATACACTAGTGAGCATATGTTGATTATCATCAGAAGGGGTTTTGTGGAGATTGTAGTAATTTCAATAGTTAAGATCATGAGTCCTGGGTTCGAATTTCGCAGTGGGCGAGGTTGTGGATGCGCACTGCTGAGGAGCCCCATAATAGGACGAAACGGCCGTCCCTTGCTTCCAGGTTTTCCATGGTGGTCTAACTTCAACTGACTCATGATCTTAACTATTGAAATTACTACAATCTCCACAAAACCCCTTCTGATGATGGCTAATATTAATGATTACTTACTTACTTACTTACTTACTTATTTACTTACTTACTTACTTACTTATTTACTTACTTACTCACTTACTTACTTACTTACTTACTTACTTACTTACTTACTTACTTACTTACTTACTTACTTACTTACTTACTTACTTACTTACTTACTTACTTACTGACTGACTGACTAACTGACTAACTGACTAACTGACTAACTGACTAACTGACTTACTTACTTACTTACTTACTTACTTACTTACTGACTGACTGTACTGACTAACTGACTAACTGACTAACTGACTTACTTACTTACTTACTTACTTACTTACTTACTTACTTACTTACTTACTTACTTACTTACTTACTTACTTACTTACTTACTTACTTACTTACTTACTTACTTACTTACTTACTTACTTACTTACTTACTTACTTACTTACTTACTTACTTACTTACTTACTTACTTACTTACTTACTTACTTACTTACTTACTTACTTACTTACTTACTTACTTACTTACTTACTTACTTACTTACTTACTTACTTACTTACTTACTTACTTACTTACTTACTTACTTACTTACTTACTTACTTACTTACTTACTTACTTACTTACTTACTTACTTACTTACTTACTTACTTACTTACTTACTTACTTACTTACTTACTTACTTACTTACTACTTACTTACTTACTTACTTACTTACTTACTTACTTACTTACTTAATAACTTACTTACTTACTTACTTACTTACTTACTTACTTACTTACTTACTTACTTACTTACTTACTTACTTACTTACTTACTTACTTACTTACTTACTTACTTACTTACTTACTTACTTACTTACTTACTTACTTACTTACTTACTTACTTACTTACTGACTAACTGACTAACTGACTAACTGACTAACTGACTAACTGACTAACTGACTAACTGACTAACTGACTAACTGACTAACTGACTAACTGACTAACTGACTAACTGACTAACTGACTAACTGACTAACTGACTAACTGACTAACTGACTAACTGACTAACTGACTAACTGACTAACTGACTAACTGACTAACTGACTAACTGACTAACTGACTAACTGACTAACTGACTAACTGACTAACTGACTAACTGACTAACTGACTAACTGACTAACTGACTAACTGACTAACTGACTAACTGACTAACTGACTAACTGACTAACTGACTAACTGACTAACTGACTAACTGACTAACTGACTAACTGACTAACTGACTAACTGACTAACTGACTAACTGACTAACTGACTAACTGACTAACTGACTAACTGACTAACTGACTAACTGACTTACTTACTTACTTACTTACTTACTTACTTACTTACTTACTTACTTACTTACTTACTTACTTACTTACTGTTACTCCCTATAAAGCATAGGCCACCGACCATCATTCTCCAATCTACTCTGTCCTAGACCTTCCTTTCCAATTCTTTCCGATTTTTGTTCATTTTTTTCATATCTGTCTCCATTTCTCGATGTAATGTATTCTTTGGTCTTAATGGTAATAATAGTCCTATTTTATTGTTCCTTTTAGTAAACTCACGAAAATCTTACATGAGTTTGGAATTTTTAGTGAAGATATAACTGACCTATGGTATATGATACTTTAAAGTGTATAAATAATCTTAAAATTATTAATCTTCCCGTTGATTCAATAGATTGTATTGTCATTAAGTCACAATCATTTTAAGCACAGTTAGATAGTGTCTAGTAGTGGAATCTAAAATATCCTTTTCGTCCTATTTGAGAATCATTCTCTGTATGTTCCTACACTTTTAGTGTCGATTTTCGTACTGGGACACTCAGTTAATAAGTTCTACATAGGACGAAACCCATATCATAGGTTCTAATGTTACCCACTATCCAAGTTAAAATTAGTAGTTCAATAAATTGGTAATCTTGCATCACGGGTCGAAAGCTGGAAACAACTGGGAAGCTTTGTTCTAGTATGCTACTATTCAACAATAGGTATCTATGATTTTCCACGGATTGTGCACAACACCTGGTGAGCTATTAACCTTCAGATTACTTGGTTAGTAACGAATGGTTTAAATTACTGACTATAGTTAACTCATGATATCACACGATCATCACCTATTGCAAATGGAAATGTTTCTGGGACGATCGGCCTAGATTTCACTTTTCATAACTTTTGACTACAACTCCTTGAATTACTTCTGTAAGTTATTTGCTCATGAATATATAACTTTTTTACTACAGAGGGGTTTGCAGAGACTTTTAAATTTTCTGTTTAACATCAAGAATTGATTTTAGATAGATTACCATTTAAATTCTTCGGGCACTACAACTGTGAGTTCTTAGCTCAGCCAGTGATTAACCTAGAACATTAAGGTATATAAACAGTAAAAGGATCCTTCACAGCAACATTGAGTTACCAAAATTAACGTGTATTATTCAATGTATATCTTTAGCTAGTAAACTTCATTAAAAATAAGGATATCGAACGATTTCTCCTCTTGGGAACTATTTATTGCTACAACTCAACTCCCCATTTAACATGTGAATTCTTGACGATTATTAAACATACCTAGTTAAATGTTTAAACCCCAAAAAAAAGTTCCTACATGGTAAAATTGTATGTATATATCATATATATTACTGTTTTCTTCTAGGTTGATGAAGTACATTTACAAAAACGTATTTTATTGCATCAACGTCGTTCATGTTTAGAACGACGTTTACATGCAGCTGAACGTAAACGTCAAGCTGAATTAACACGTCGAGTTCTTAAAGCACATGATGAAGAGACTAAAGGAAAAGAAATTGCATTTATACAAGTAAAAAATCTTTCTCTTTACCAAATTATTTTCATCTATATAAGTAGTATATTATCTAATCATAGATCATGACAATGAATAATTCTTTTATAATAAATTTTACTTTGTCATTATCTTGTTACCTAACAATCTAAAATTAGCTATTTACAATTATCATTGATGATAACCATGCTATTGTGATTTTTCTTTACAAGCATTTATACATCATGATTGTATGCTTATTAGTTGATCTGTACGGTTAACGATTCGTCAGTCCATCCCATCCATAATGGTTTAGTAGTAACATCTCAAGCTGAGAAGTTAAATGATGTGGCGTCATATCCCACAAGGAATATCAGTCCCCTAAAAATTTCAAGTGTGCCTTGCTGATGAATGCCATCCAGCGCGTAACCTAGTTCTATGGTTTATTTTTGACTATATTCAGTCAACTAACATCAAAACAATATAGAATTGGATACAGTTTTGTTACTTTCTGAAAAAAAAATACATAAAGAATGGTCATGGGATGAATACATCTATGCCTATTACAATCAGTTCCGAACAATGTAATCTAATATCTCCAACCATATGTTGTACAATTGCCTCGTAGACGTCAACTATGGGAAAACTGAAAGTTTCGATTAAATACTCAGTGAACTACTGCCATTTTATGGTCTAGCCGTTATTATCTATCTTTTAACCCTGGTACGGCCGAGAGTAGGGAAAGTCCACTCTCCCTCTCGAAATGCTGTCGCATGGCCACGCGTATATAGCCTCCGACAGTGAAGTCCTACTCACTGCCTTCTCATGGCATTACTGTTGTTTACGAAAATAAGAGAACGAAAAGCGAATGTCCAGCGCTTTAACCGGATCCCAAACCAATCGTGTACATGAGCTCCAGTATCTTGAGGGAACAAATGGCGTATGAACCAATCGTTAGTCACCGGCTACCATGGGACTGCATCTCCTTACGATGCTCCACTGCCTTGTGGGTCAGACATTCAGGTCGAAGGCTCCGGGTGTGGTCCCCTAAGAAAACCACCTGCTTCAGTCTGGTCCTCACAAAAATCAATTGAGATTTGTGTGACGCATATGTATTTGGTGCCTCCTTGTACCAATACCTATGTGTTAAAATAAATAATCATAACATGATAGAAAGTGTTTAAATATGCTTATGGTCATGTGTAACACAGGACCTAGAAAGTATACGCGTCGGTTCATTTTGTCAGTAAAACAATACGAAATTATCAAGACAAATAGCAGAGCAGTAGAGGTGGTTAGAGTGTCAGTGGTAGTATAAAAGTTTAAGTGTAGACAATATAGTTTAGGGTGAAAGAATGAACTAGCGTAATTAAAATCATAAAATAATTTTGAAACTCAAGATATAAGAAAGGAAGACAAAGAATGAATTAATCTGGGCTATTTCAATCGGTTCTGAACCATGTCACCTAACATCTATTACAATTGGTTACGATAGTCACGCAGACTCCAATTTGAGCCTACCAACACTCCTTACTCAAACATCCAATAACTTTTCTTCCAACATAATTCTACACTAATAAACATCATGCATTCAGGTAGACGATGATTGACCATGTGTAGTATACATATATAAACAAGAAAATTAATGTTATGGTGTCTACATAAAACAATGTTTTTAACCAAAATGGTTATCCTCCAAGAAATAGTTGCTTATCAGTAACCGGAATAATCTTCGATGATCGTTTTTATTTCTGTTTGTTGTTCCAGTAACAGTGCTGAGGAGTCTCATACTAGGACGAAATGGCCATCCAGTGCTTCCAGGTTTTCTGTGATGGTCTAGCTTCAATTGACTCATGAATTCAACTATAGAATTACCAAAACCCTTTTTCATAATAATTAAATAATTCTGTCTAGACATCATAATATAAACTACGATTTTTGATCAAACGTTCATAGTTCTAAATTAAGTAGTATCTTTATGTATGTATGTTGGATTTAGACACTTGAAGCGGAACAAAAACAACATAGTATTTTAACCAAACATGAAGAGAGTCGTGCACGATTAAATGAACTGGCAATTGAACGCCAAAGACGTACCGAAGAGAAATTATGCCGAGAAGAAGCGGCTAAAGTAAGTGGACCAGTTATATTTCATTTCTTTTTAAAAAATTTGTCCTTCCTCTAATCAGTGTGGATGATTTAAATATATTTTCTTCAATACATATAATGATTATTTCCGATTTAAGTGTTATTGAGCTAACAATCATTGAAAATCTGGAAACATTAGACACCCGTTTTGTTCAAATATGAGGCGCCTCATGTGTGTCCATCTATGACCCCATCTCACTGTAGATGAAATCCAGGACCTTCGGTCTCGCGCGCAAACTCTTAAACTCTAGACCACTAAACCCGGGATCCAGTAGTGTATAAGTCTAATTTCAATCAATTCGCGATGTTACACAACCATCTTTCATTGTTTTCGGTGGATATTTTCATCATATCCGACATGGTTTAACTCCACTTGTCATAAATTCTGACTCAAAATCCAAAAATTTCTCAAATCTAGTTATCAGTGAGCATATAACGTGTGCGAAATCGCAATAATAATCACCCAAAATTTTGCTTCATATATAAAAGTTAATGATCTTAGTGTCTTCTAACTCTGCACTTTATGGCGGTTACTTCTAACTGCTTTACAGACTTATGATTTTCAAATAGAAGCATGAATCCATTATAATATTTGTATCTTACGAAATATATTTTATTTTAAGCGATTCGATGTGAAACCTTGGTTTTCGATCGGTCACCAATGCATGTAATGTCGAAAGAATCAGTTATAAACAACTTAGAATCTAGCACATATATACATCAGTTTAAGTTACTACAACATTTCAGCACAATGAGATGTAAATGCGTGTGGAAGTGGACGGTGGTTGGACACATGTAACACATGTTTCAACTATCTCAGTCCATTGAGATTCACTAACCGACTTATTTAGTAACTTGCGTTTACTCTCGGCATTACTCCACTCGATGATCTCAACTATCCGCGAACAATACTCTTAAGTCCTCAAATACTAGTGACCTATGAATATTCTATGTTTTTAAAGACGACGTTTCATAACAGAACGAATTGTTGTGCAATATATTTGTTGTTTTTTGGTTGGCAGACGTATGTTTTTACCTATACCAAAAGTAACGCAATTTTGTTAAAAATCTGTCGACCTTTCGTTATTCCTCAGTACGATCATTACACTTTATCAACCTTTTCACCAAACACGGCTTTATCTTTTTGATAAGTGTTGCAATTTTGAACGCTATACTCGGTTCCTGAGCTATATTTGAAACCCTAAAGCTAGAACTATACAGCGATCTAAACACGAGAGAGAAGGCGCAAAGTATACGTGTAATACTTTACTCCAAGGTTCATTTTAATACAGAAAATGTAGGGTTTTTATAATATTTTAAATGTCTTTGGGTAACAGTATGGCAATCAGAAACTCTACATGTGACGTTTCACTTCCTTGATGTTTCTGGCTAAAACTTCAAGAGAACGCTGATTGGATGAAATGCTTCTTAGTGTTTCCTGATCCCTGCCCGTCTTTTGCGAGAAGTTTTCTGGATCACCCCAACACTTGCATATTTCTTATTCAATAAGAAAATCTCTTAACAATTTCAGAAGAAATAATATTCACTGTGTGATTTGGATCTATGACATAACACTAACAGTGTTTTCTCTCCACTCGTTTTCCTTTTCTTTTTTTTTTTTGTTTTGATTTATAGATTCGTCGAAGAGCTTTAGAAGCATCACGTTTAGCTAGATTAGATGCATTACAAGCTAGATGGAAAATTCGTGCACAACAATTAGCATCACGTGCTAAATTATTAGAACATTCACGTCGAGCTGCAGCTCGTGCTAAAAAACAATCACGTGAAATTAAAATGGCTACTTTAGAAGAACAACAACGTACACATATTGAACAGTTACGTTGCAAGATTCAACGTAAAGTAAATTTTGTTATATATACATTTGTAGAATTTCTCATAATTCATTTGTTTACATTTTATGAATTCAAGTCTACTTATGCAATAAATCCTACCTATCCTTTTGGAATATCTTGTAATACATCATAACTTTGAAAGTAGATGATATACAAAATTCACAAACATTTAATCATAGATGCCTTCAAAGTATCGTTCGCCTGTGTTGGATTAATAGAGTAAGAACTTCTATTCCAAACCAATGATTCACAAGGGCTTCACGATCCTGAGGGAATAAATGGTGTATGAACCTATTGTTAGTTACCGACTTCCATAGAACTGAATCTCTTAACGTTGCTTCAGTGCCTAGTGGATTAGACCTTTAGGTGAAAGGCTCGAGGAGTGGCCTCCAAAGAGGACCACCGACCTCGGTTTGGATGCCAGGGCAGTATCCCAGTCTTCACACAAATTGAATGACGAAGTGTAGCACATATACATTTTGTGCCTCCTTGTATCAATGTTTGCGTGTTTATATAAATAAATAAACTATTGGTATTTATTTATTTGAACACATAAATATTGATACAAAGGGACATTGGATACATATGTGCCACACAAGTCACTTGATTTATGTATGGGCTGTGATACTACTCAGGTGCCAAAACCGAAGCAGATGGTTTTCTTAGGGGGTCACACTCGAAGCCTTCGACATAAAGGTCTGATCCACAAGTCAATGGAGCATCGTGAGGAGATGCAGTCCCATGGTAGGCGGTGACTAACGATTGGTTCATGCTCCATTTGTTCCCTCAGGATACTGGAGCCCATATGTACCATTGGTTTTGGTTCCGGTTAATGCGCTGGACATTCGCCTTTCGTCCTCTCATTTTCGTAAACAACAGTAATGCCACGAGAATGCATTGAGTAGGACTTCCCTGGCAGAGGCTGTATACGCGTGGCCATGTGACAGCATTTTGAGAGGGAGGGCGGGCCCACCCCATTCTCGGCCATACCAGGGTATTTGGGAGCGATTTAGTGGAGTGGCCGAGTCGTCTATTTCTATCCTGTTCCATGTTGATAATGCCTGACTAAAGAGTATTAATTCGATTTACTTAGTTTCTGTTGAAGTTATTTGTTTAACTTGTTTCGATTTTTCTTTGTGTGTGTGCATCATATCAAGACTATTTATTATCATATCGTTTAGTTCAAGGAAAAAACACCGTGAAAAACATGTCTTCAATCGATTGATATTGGAACATTCTCGTAGATGTTTTGTTTTTATATTTCAAATAATAATAAGTGATAAGCTTGAAATCAATCTAATCGATTTCAGTACAAACACCACTACTGTAAACCAAGTATATGGACTTATCTTACTTACGACGTTTCGGATTGTTTGAAGTCATCCATATTGATCAATACAGACTATTTGGTTGAAGTTCATGTGTTAACCGCAATCAGTAATTGAAGATATTGGATGATATTAGTCAGTATCAGTCACAATAACACAAGTGCATTCACTCATTTTCCTTCTCTAAATAATAAGTCACAGTATTCTTTCATATATACCTTGTCATTCTGTATTTACAATCTATATTCTCAATACTTAGTCTTTTTCATTATCATGACTATATTTTTTAGACTCCTCTACTATTCAGCTTGTTTTAGTTTACATCATGAATTGACTTGAACTATAAGCACCATTAAAAAGAAGTATGTTCATTGAACAACTGTAACGTTGACCCTCAGTCAGATGTTTGATGTTCTATGCTACGATTATACGTGATGGTCTAGGCAAAGTCAGTTTGTAATGTAAAACAATAGTAAATTATTGGAAAGCTTTCAATCTATGAAAATGTTCTTAGATCTATTTAACACATGTAACATTATACATATTTTTCGATTTTTAACCATTAAAATAATGGAGTTTTGTTCTCTGAGCTGGATAGTTTGTTCGTGAGCCATATGTGGAGAAAATTCGAACACTTCACTTCTACTTGAAGTTTGTACTGATGATATCTTTCAGAAGAACAATGAAAGTTTCAGCTCAGAGAACAAGACTCCATCAAAATCATCCACTTGAACTACAAATCTTCTCTACCATCATGTTTACTTTACATAGCAAGAAGAATCTGAAAGACGTCATCAAGAGTCACTTAGAGAAATAAGTAGAAAAGCTTTTGAAATGTCAATACTCACTCATACTGGTGATGATTCATTGACTGTTCCTGGCATTGAACCTTATCCAGTACAAAAATGGTGTAAAGCATGCCAAGTAATGGTAAGTTTATCATGTTATTTTCTTTATTGATTTTGTATTATTAATTTTGCCATGATTAGTCCCTTGGTGAAGCGGTAGGTTAGTCGTTATTACGTGAATTCATTCTTTCTTCTGATGTCATATTGTCTATTCATAAACCTTTTCTACTCCCATTGATACTGTGAGTACTTCTACTACTCTAGCATTTACAACTGATCGACCAATCGCGTAATAGTGATCGGTATTATGTTCATATAGCTATTTGCTGTTGTTGAATCTTATCAATATCAGATTGTGGCATTTGGTGACAAGAGTTCGAATCTCAAAAGGAACAGGATTGCAAGTAAATCTTGTTAACAAATCCCAACTAGCACGGAACTAAAGTTCATAGCTTCCTACTAACTACTTACAGACACCTAAAATAGGATATTTAAAAACTGACCAGTTAAGCTTTAAGAATCCAATAACAAGCAGAAGAAATGAATATCTTCATACCAACTGATTTTGCATACCTGTTAAAGAATAGGATGCATAATTATCATTTGTGATGAACCACTGCGAACAATTAAAAAGTCTGTATATCTCAATTTTTTTATTTATTTTTATTTTAACACATAAGTATAGGTACAGGGAGGCACCAAATACATATGCGCCACACAAATCTCAATTGATTTGTGTGAGGGCTGTGATACTGCCCGGGTGCCCAAACCGAAGCAGGGTATATCTCAATGACTATGAATGCTGATATGATAACAATCTGCCTGATGAGATCAGTCTATATATAGTGAGATCTAAACCAGATTATATACACCTAAGTCATCTTTGACTAACAGTTGAGAATCCCGAGTTCTACATATTAAGTCTTGCACTTGATTACGGCTTATACGGTGTACGTCTATCGGCAGTCGAACGCCAATAAATTCACAGTTAAATATATCAAAAGACCCAAAAAAGCAGGAGAAGCGGTTATTGAGTAAGTGTCAATAATGTACAGAAAAAGAGGGGTATTTATGGTTATTAGTATTGGCTATTACATAATTATAATTCAGCCAATCCGCAAGTAGGGAAGTTATACAATCGTTTAATCATAGTATGGCATGCTGATATTCTAGAGGGTTCTATCAGGTTGCAACTGGATTGAATCTCTTGGGTTCATTTAGAGCCTTTGGATGCTTCGTCGCGCTTTCTCGAAGGTCGTCACAACACTATTAACTGAAAGTATCCGGGACTTCTGTTTTCGACCATCACTGTCTCCTAAGAATGGCATGTAAGTATTCCCAAGATCCTTCAGCGCCTGTCCAGGCACGGACTAACATCCTGAAATCCCAGCTTTAATGATTTGATCTTTTTTCATTACCATCTCAAGTACTTTATTGTTGTCTGTGATTTTGTAAAAACAAGAAATGATTAAAAGTTGTATTTAGTTTATAACACTGTATCATTACTCCGCAGATGCAATCATAACAGTCATATCTTATCTCACTTTCATAGCTGTACACCATTCTTGCCTTAAAGTTAAAACCCTGGGCCACAAATATGTAAACCTTAATTACTGAATACCATTTAATTCAATCATTAAATTCATTGTTTCCCTTTTGTATTGTCGATTAGTAAAGTACTTCTTTATTATGGCCATTTTCTGGTTGTATAATAGATTATGTCTGAAGTTCAATTGAAAAGTCATTTACACGGTAAACGTCATCAGAATGCAATTATGGAAGCTGCACAAAATCGCCCTGTTGGTAGATCTGAATTAGTAAGTTTTATATATATGTATATATCATATTAGCTTAGTGTTTTGAAGCAGCATATTCCAGCAACCATAATTTAGTGATAGTGCTATACTCTAAAAGGTTCACATACAGCGGAGGAAAGTAACAGTTTACTCTCCTTCTCGAAATACTCTCATATGGTCACGCTCTTTTAACCTCTATCAGAAAATTCCTTCCCACTGAAGTGTTTATACGCAATTAAGACAATCAAAGGTTAATGTGTGACACTTAAATCGCCTTGTTGGATACTGGAAACTCGCCAAAGGAACCCGTTTACCCCCATTTCAAATCAATGGAGCATATACGCCGAATAGTCCTGACACAACGAATGAAGTATGAACTTGTTTTGGTTACTAGCTATCATGAAACTTCATTTCCTCATAGTTTTTTTTTTTTAGATTGGACCTCTTGGTCAAAGGTCATTGGAGCCCCCCTCTCTATATATGTCTATATATATGAATTGGTGGTAAATCAAAAGACATTTCCAGAAATTAACATCACAAGTGTTAGCATTATTGCTGTTAGTCATTTCCTTAATGATCTTGGCTAAAATGACTATTGATTTAATTAACTTTCTTTCAAATTTGACTTAGGAAGCGTTCAATTTATCACATCTTGTTGATGCACCAAATGAATTACCACACTCTCAATATGATACACAACAGGAACGTTTAAAATTACGTAGAAAACGAGCAAGAAAATTAAGACAACGAATGAATCAAAGGTTTGTTTAATTGATATTTCTATTAATATAAACAAGAAATGTTAGCTATTTGGAGAATTAAGATGATTCTGATTCCATTCATTTATTCTAAAGGTTTATAAAGCAGTTATGAGCTTCAGAACCTATATATAGTTATATCATTTAGTATTTTCAACCAGCGATTACTGTTATCTCCCAGAATCTAACTAGCACGTCTGTACTGGCCGACCAAGCTCAGGTCATTTGTCATTGACCTGATGAACTGGCATTATGTTATTATATGTCTACGGTTAATCTTCCTCCTTAAATCTACTGATACAATTGAGAGTGTAGAGAGGCTAGTCTCTCCATTGAAAATAGTTTTATATGACTACATGTTTTTAGGATGTGTTGCAATTGTGATGCATTTCAAGAGAGTTGCTATAAAACCGAATATTCGGTACTAATCTTGTTGGTAAATATACAGATTCTTCATATAAAGGAGGTGATAGACTGTAACTGCAAACTAATGGAATGCCTGGTGTATTAACCCATTTCAGTTACTGGTTACTACGGGATCATATCTTTTGACATTGCTTCCTTAACTTGCAGATTAGACATCTGATTCAAAGGTTGAGGAATTATTTTCCCGAGAAAACAACCTACCTCAATTTGGTCTACCGAATAGTATTCCAACCAACACATAAATACGCTGATTATATTAAGTCTAGACAATCCTCTGAGAATGCACATATTACTGAAAGAGATCAATTGCTCTCATAAACATCAATGGGAAGATTCAAGTAACCAACACAAATGAATTCATATTCTTCAATCACATCCCTATATTTGTATATATGTTAGTCGATGAAAGAGTAGTGTTGATGACGGATCAGTACTAGTAAGATGGTGGTTGAAGATAGTCGACTGGGAACCCTGGATCCAGGTTTCATGCTACTGAATATTTTTCAACGTAGTGTACCGGTAATTCTCCCTAGCGGATTCGTCACCGTGTTGACCAGCTTCACGGCCAGAGATGTCACCACAGAGCTATCCTAAATATAACTGACCCCTTAGAAAACAGATATTCGCGTTGATTGCCTAACGTTTAGAAAGCAATATAATGTTTTGCTAGTCCTTAGTGTCGATTGAATCTTACCCAGTCAAACTGCAATGTAGTCACTAGTCTAAGTGTATCTACATCTTGTACATTATGTTAACTTATAAGATGGAGGTTGAAGGTAGTGAATAAGAAAATCTGAACGTAAATTAACACTAATCTTTGGTAATACAAAAGTTACTTTTTTAGTATTCTAAATTTATTGAATTAGACTCTTCACTTACTGCATACTTTCAATTTCTTTTCAAACGAAAATTTTGTTATAAAGAGGTTTGCAGTTTTTGAAAGAACTGGAAAACAACAAGACACCAACACCTGATTCACCAAACAAGTCACAGTAAGTATTTATTTAAAAGTCAATTTTCACCGTATATTATTTACTTAATCCTGTTACCCCTCGTAGGGCATATACCTCAGATCATTTATCTTCAATCAAGTCTATTCAGCTCTCTACTTTCTAATCATTTCTAAGTTGTATTCCGATTCCCAACTCAATATGTTCTTTGGCTTACCTCTTTTCATTTTGTCGTAAGAATTCCAAGTTAGGTCCTGCCTCGTGATCATATTTCTATTTGGTGAAGACGCTGACAAAATGCAGAGTCTTCTGACCACTATAAGCAACAACGCAAGCATGTTCAGGATGTGATTCTCCCCCTCGAAGTGCAAAATTTTGCTTCAGGATTGGGTTGTATCGACACCCAAACTAATGATACGGAGTGAAGTAGTTGAGCGTGCCGACCACTTCACTCATCTGGGAAGTCTCATCAGCCCTTGTGGTTTGGTGTGTGACGAAATCTCAGCACGGATACAGGAGGCTCGACTAGCTTTTGCCAACTACCTTCATTTATGGCGTAAGCAAGATAACTGTATACTAACCAAACGACGGGTGTACTATGCAGCAGTTCGTTCCGTCATACTTTATGGCAGTGAAACATGGCCGGTAAGAGTAGAGGATATTCGTAGGTTACTAGTATTCGATCATAGGTGTCTTCGAAACATTGCTCGTATATCCTGGGACCATCGAGTAAGTAATGTAGTTGTTAGGGAACAGGTACTAGGTAAGGATGGCAAATCCATTGATGAAGCAGTGAAACGTAATCAGTTGAGATGGCTGGGACACGTTACGTATGCCCAACCACCGACTGCCCCGACGTGCGATGTTTTATGGTGTAGGAGTAGGTTGGAAGAAATCAGGGGGTAGTCAGACCAAAACATGGCATAAATCCATGAAGTCACTGACAAGTGTACTGCGTGAGCCATGTTCGTAGATGTAGACTGCCTGGTTGAGATCCTCATGACGATAACAATCGATGGTTAGAGACCTTGAATGACATGGCTCAAAATCATTTGCAATGGCGCAGGTGCTTCCACTCTCCTGAATTCTCTTTGTCTCTTTTTTTGTCTTTCCAGTTTTATTCCACTGGATTATACTGCTTGAATAACATCATCAAACCCTAATGTTCCCTATTACTACTTATACTTTCACTACCTCTACCACTACGAGATTTGAATCGATAGCTGCATCTCTGTGCTAATGTGGTATGGCAACTTGAACTGATGTACGTACGTACGAAGTTCCACGTTGTTACTGACTGACTGACTCACTGCCTTCTCGCGGCAGTACTGTTGTTTACGAAATTGAATGGACGAAAAGTGAATGACCAATACTTTTATTGAGTTGTAAAACCCTCATTCTAAACCAATGGTGCACATGGGCTCCATGATTCTGAGAGAACAAATAACGTACGAACCTATTGTTGGTCAATAGCAACTATCAGATTGCATCTCCTGATGTTGCTCCACTGCCTCATGGATCAGACCTTTAGATCGAAGGCTCCAGGTGTGACTCCCTAAGAAAACCACCTGCTTCGGTTTGGGCACCTAGGTAGTATCTTAGCCCTCATACAAATCGAATGTTTTATATGTCGCATATCTATTTACTACCTCCTTGTACTCATTTTTATGTATATAAATAAAATATAAAATAAATCCTTTTTTTTATATTCATCAATTTTATACATTTACATTATTTAGTCTAATTAAACTAATTAAAAATGCTCATCGTTTTCTCAATCTTCCTGATTCTGGTCCATGGGTAATGACACGAGTTCAAGCTATGGAAAAATGTTTAAATAGTTTATTACGATGTATTTCTAATAATCAATTCAAAGTGAGTTTATTCACCGACTCTTCTTATTACTCTTCATAACTTTGTTCAATTCTAATAAAAATGTTTGTTTGTTTTAATTTTATTTTCTATATTCACAATTACACAATTTGTAATGGATATGAAATAGTTGAAGATAGTTGGTAGAGTCGAGGATGGGGGGTACCCTGTGAATTCCTTGTTGGATTTGATGGCAGGTCATTTGTTTTCATGACAATAAAGCAACCTGCTTGTTTATTTATTTATTTATTTTAACACATAAGTATAGGTACAAGAAGGCACCAAGTACATATGCGCCACACAAATCTCAATTGATTTGTGTGAGGGCTGTGATACTGCCCGGGTGTCCAAACCGAAGCATGTGGTTTTCTTAGGGCGCCACACCCCGAGCCTTCGACCTGAAGGTCTGATCCACAAGACAGTGGAACATCGTAAGGAGATGCAGTCCCATGGAAGCCGGTGACCAAGAAATTGGTTCATACGTCATTTGTTCCTTCAGGATACTGGAGCCCATGTGCACCATTGATTTGGGATCCGGTTAAAGCGCCGGACATTCGCTTTTCGTCCTCTCATTTTCGTAAACAACACCCGTGGTACGAGAAGACAGTGAGTAGGACTTCCCTGGCAGAGGCTATATACGCATGGCCATGTGAGAGCATTTCGAGAGGGAGAGCGGACTCTCCCCACTCTCGGCCGTACCAGGGCTTTTGGGGGCACCTGCTTGAATATCAAGGCTATCTGTTTCTGCCATTTGGATATTTCACACAAGTTATCTGTTTTCTTGTTTGTTTTAACATATCATTATGCCTATTAGTGTCTCATAATCTATTCAGGTGCGTTTGTGAAAAGTTTACAACATTTCGCTGTACAAGTTACAAAAGAGCTCAATCAGCGACATCTTGGTGACTGGCAATATACATGGAAAACGATATACATTGTTCACATGTCGATTCCTGAACCGCTAACATCTAACTGGTGACCACTAAATATTTATCGCAAGGAACTGATCAAGAAATAAGAAAGAGAAACTTGTTGGAATACTTTGTGCTGAGAATTCTATATTGTATCAAAACACATAATATTGAATAAAGCCACTGATAATAATATTCAATAAATAAATAAATAAAGACATACCCACTACTAATCGCAACTGATCCCCTGTCGAACTGAGAGATTGATATTGATTAACCAATGAGTAGTAACGTTCTTCTAGCTTTATTGTATTGACCGAATGTGATCGATAAAGTTTCAATGTATCCACTAATCTAAATCATTTGACATATTTTTCAGGTTCTGTATTGCTTATTAGAACTGATTGTTACACAATGCACCTAACAATATGTACTCATTTTATTTTTTCATAGACTCATTCCATTTTATCAGATAATGAAAATCAAAGTCAGTCAGTTAATTTAGCAGATCGACAAGTTTGTCTCGCTAATGGTTTGTTGTCAATTCTGGTGAATCTAATTGGTTTAATTCGAGAACAGAAGCCTAGTTCAAAACCGTTAGTCCCGGAGAAGTAAGTCGTTATCTCCACCCGTATAATTAGGTGAATTAATGTATATAACTCGTTTATCGAGTATGGGTTTATATTTATTTATTTATTTATTTATTTATTTGAACACAAACATTGATACAAGGAGGTGCCAAAAAGATATGCGCCACACTTCATCATCTGATGTGGGGGCTGAAATACTACCCCGGGTTCCCAAACCGAAGTAGGTGGTTTTCTTAGGTAACCACACTCCGAGCCTTCGACCTAAAGGTCTAATCCACAAGGCAGTGGAGCAACGTTAGGAGATTCAATCCTGTGGTAGTCGGTGACTAACAATAGGTTCATACTCCATTTATTCACTCAGGATCATGGAGTCCATGTGCACCATTGGTTTGGAATCAGTTTTCCAATTTCCCTTGGTAGATACTCCGTAGCCCCAACCAGGCATTGAATTTTCGTCCTTTCAATTTCGTAAAGAACACTCTTGCAGTAAGAAGGCGATGAGTAGGATTTCCCTGTCAGTGACTATATACACGTGGCCTTGTGACAGCATTTTAAGAGGGAGGGTGGACTGTGAATTTCAAAGACATCCGGATAGACTGCGAGATTCTGATCATAGGTCTTTTCTAAACATTATCCGGATATTGTAAAACAATTGAGTGAACAATTTTGAAATTAGATATAGGAATATTTGTAATAAAGGTCCATAAATAGTTCCTATAAAATTCACTTGGTATTGTTTACTTGAATCTTCTCATTGATGTTTAGGACTGTAATTGATCAGTCTCTTATTGGCATATATGCATACTGTGCGTATTGCCTCGATATTGCCTTATTTCATCCTGTTTGGGACTCGTCAGCTAGATGTACGTGCATCTCAGAGTTGTTGTTCACTCTGGGACCCCTAACCAGTACCGTTCGCTTCAAATGCCATTGCATTATCCACTTAGCTACTGATTCCCCAATGGGATGAAACGTGCATCAAACTGGATTCCACTGCTAGCTATCATCCATCTTTGGTTTTAATGCTTATGAATTAAGGCAATATCGAGACAATGCGCACAGGATGTACATGTGCCAAAAAGAGAATGATCAATCCTAAACATCTATGGGAAGATTCAAGTAAACAATAATACCAAGTGAATTTAAACTTCACTCCATTGCATAGGCAGGCGGCTATCAGGATTCAGTAGCTAAGTGGACCACGCGATGGCTTTTAAAGCAAACGGTACTGAGTTTGAGTCCTAGAGTGAACATTATCTCTGGAGATGAAGGTATATCCAGCTGTGACCAGTCCTGAATAGGACGAAGATTCAAGTAAACAATATATACCAAATGAATATAAATCTAATGATGTATGTTTATCTGTATCAAGTTTATATTGTTTTCATTTTTATCATCATTTCATCTATTTACTTTCCTTTTCTTTTTCTTTTTCTTTTTTTTTTTACATTTTCTATTAAAATAGACTATATAGAATAGCATGTTGTCTACTTCATACAATATGCACTTCAAATATTGATGCTTCTATTTATATGTTACTATCAAATAATGTTTCAATACTTATTGATTGTTTAGTAATACAATTTACCGTAAGATTTATATTAAATACTTTGATTGTTTTTCATTTGATTAATCACTTATTGATCGATGAAAAATTCTCTTTTTTTATTAGACTCTACATTTCAGAAGTTAAGCGTTCACACATGAGAACGAAGTTCCTGGATTTGAGTCCTACATACATGGACATAAGTGAGCACTATTAAGGAGTCCCCTATACTAGAATGAAATGGTCATTTAGTTCTTCCAGGTTTTCAGTGGTGATTTTGTTCAAAGGTTAAGAAAGATAGTACAGAAAACCTTTAATGAAGCTAGATTAAATACCATGTTCTACAACTGACCTATAACTAGAACCATTAATGAAGACAGATTGTCTGAATTTTCCACATCCATGTGTATTTAGTAATTTAACTGCTCTTGTGGAACCAATTATATAAGGCGTGCGAAGAATTTTGTTAGTTTTTTTTCATATATTATGTAACATAGCGACTGTCTAATTCGTTGAATTTATTTATTTATTTATTTTAACACATAGGTATAGGTACAGGGAGTCACCAAGTACATATGCGCCACACAAATCTCAATTGATTTGTGTGAGGGCTGTGATACTGCCCGGATGCCCAAACCGAAGCAGTTGGTTTTTTTAGGGGGCCACACCCCGAGCCTTCGACCTGAACGTCTGACCCACAAGGCAGTGGAGCATCGTAAGGAGATGCAGTCCCATGGTAGCCGGTGACCAACGATTAGTTCATACGCCATTTGTTCCTTCAGGATACTGGAGCCAGCCCATGTGCACCATTGGTTTGGGATCTGGTTAAAGCGCCGGACATTCGCTTTTCGTCCTCTCATTTTCGTAAACAACAATAATGCCACGAGAATGCAGTGAGTAGGACTTCCCTGGCAGAGGCTATATAAGCATAGTCATGTGAGAGCATTTCGAGAGGGAGAGCGGACTCTCCTCACTCTCGGCCGTACCAGGGCATTTGGGCATTCGTTGAATAACTACTTTTATTATTATAGTCCTCTTTCTTCCAATTACTCAAGATTATTTACGTAACATGACTACTCAATGAATATTATTTCATCGTTGTAGATCATAATTATACATACGTATTATCAGTATGAGGATTTGTCAATCAGTCCAACGTATGTACGTACATCAGTTCGAGTTGCCATACCATATTAGCACATAGATACAATTGTCGATTCAAATCCCGTAGTGGTAGAGATAGTAAAAGTATAAGCAGTAGTCGTGAAGATTAGGTTTTGAAGATGTAATTCAAGGAGTACAATACAGTGAAATAAATAAAGCAAGAACAAATATTAATGCAGAATATTATGAGTTCATAATATTTCAAGGTTCCTCGTCAGCTGTTTACAACCACTGATATGTTTTAGCATTTTACATTGAGATAAGTAATAGTGTGAAACAATTGACATAAATGAATGTAAATAATTAGAATGACAAAGGTTTACTATAATAACATGTATACGTATATGCAAGAACAGGTCAGAGGTTAATTAGTGTTAGAATTAAGGAAACAATTAAGGATCGGTGGCGTAATAGTTTAGTGCAGTGAAATAAATTTGGAAAGAGAAAAAAACAGGGACATGAAGAACTCAGAAGACTAGAAATTTGAGAGAACACAAAGAGTGGATGCACCTGTGTCATTGCAAACAATTTTGATCTATTTCGTTTAATATCTCTAACCATCGGTTGCTATCAACTCGCGGATCTCAACCAGGTAGTCTACATCTACAAACATGGCTCAGTCCACTTGTCAGTGACTTCATGGATTTATGCCATGTTTTGGTCTGGTCACCTCTAGCTTTCTTCCAACCTACTCCTACACCATAAAACATCGCACGTCGGGGCAGTCGGTGGTTGGGCATACGTAACACATGTCCCAACCATCTCAACTGATTAAGTTTCACTACTTCATCAACTGATTTTCCATCCTTCCTTTTTACCCATTTCCTGACAACTACATTACTTACTCGGTGGTCCCAGGATATACGAGCAACGCTTTGAAGATCTACGAAACCTACGAATATTATTTACTCTTACCGGCCATGTTTCACAGCCATAAAGTAGGACGGAACGAACTGCTACACAGTAAACCCGTCCTTTGGTTGATAGACGGATATCTCACCTACACCATAAATGACGCAGGTTGGCAAAAGCTAGTCAAGCCTTCTGTTGTATTTTCACAGTTGAATTCACGAGTCAATCTAAGCTAGACCACTATTGAGAACCTGTAAGCACTGGACAAACATTTCGTCTTAGTATGAGATTCCTCAGTAGTACGCACTCACTCATGATGAAAAACTAATTGATTGATATGTACTAATATCTTAATTGTTTGTTATTTAAATGAAATAATTAATGTTACATGTTAATTGTATTGTTACTTAATGTGAATGATCTATATTTATTGGTATGGTTCTTTCTCCTAATGAGAGGTTTCCTAATGTTTATCTGTGCTGATCTCGTTTTTTTTTCTTGTCATTTGATGTGTTTTTACCACATTGTTATGATAATGTTGAAAAAAGATGATGTTACCTAAACAATGTACGAATGTGTTTACTACAGTTAGTTCAATCGTTATCTTATCAATCTTATGAGTTATTGTTGGATTACTAGTTAAATCAATTAAGTTTTGAATAATTGATATCTGTTTGAGATTATTAGTTTAGGATAGAGTTCGATGGAAACTCCTGATGAGGGCGGTTTATGCACCTCTACAAGAGGTTACAGGTGTAAGTAAGTAACTAAGTTTAAAACTACACTTTGTATATTTCAGTTTGAGCAGTTAGTTAATTAGTTAGTTGTATAGTATTATCTCTTCTCAAATCGAGTAGATAAACATTATATTTAACTATGATAAATGTACCGTTATCTCAGCCTCCAAATGCCCTGGTACGGCTGAGGGTGGTGAGTCAGTTCTTTCTCTCGAAATGCTCTGACATTGTGACCTCCATACAACCACTACCATGGAAGTCCTATTCAAGCGACCAAACAGTTTCTTACGAAATTGAAAAGCGAATGTTCGACTCTTTAACTGGGTTAGTGGCTATGAAGGATCCACCTAGGGAAGTTAGGAAACCCTCATTCCAAACCAATGGTACATAACGGCTCAATGATCCTAAGTGAACAAATAGCGTATGAATCAATTATTGGTCACCGGCTACCATGGGACTTCATAAGCGTTATCGTAACTATTTCATACACTTGATGAAATCCGAATAGAATAAAACACGTATCGTAGATCACGTATTTTTCCTAGAATCGATGTATTCTGAACAGGATTGTAAATAATATTCGAGTATTTATACAAGTTATTGATGATTGTAACAGAATGACATTGGTTTCATTCCTAGAGATATTTCAAATGATCATATTTAACTGGATACAATATCGTTTAGAAAATGCAAATGTGGTTTAAATCCTGATGATTTCAGAAAACATCTATCAATATAAGTTGATTTTGATTAGTTTAAATTATCAGCATTATATTCACTAGAAATTAAATAATATGCTATTTTCTTCCATGGGAAATAAGCTATCTCAATTTCGATAGAATGTTTTTGGAGATGTGACTAATACTGATACCTTTCAATAGTTGAGATCTTGAGTGGATTGGAACTAGACTACCATGGAAAACCTGAAAGCACTGGACAGCCGTTTCGTCCTATTGTGGAACTCCTCCGTGGCAGTGCACATCCACGATCCCGTCTCGCGTGATTCGAACTCATCAAGTACCAGTCTCACACACGAGCGCTTAACCACTGAGCCGGCATCCAAGTAAGACATTAACACCGATGATTAGGCGCCTAGCGCGAGATTGATAGGTCCTGGGTTCGAATCTTGCGAGGCGGGATCATGGATGAGCTCAACCACGGAGGAGTCCCACAATAGGACGAAATGGCTGTCCAGTACTTCCAGGTTTTCCATGGTGGTCTAGCCTATATCGACTCATGATCCCAACTATTGAAATTACTACAATCTCCACAAACCCCCTTCTGATTCCGATACCTTTCTTTTTTTTTAATTTTCTATTCTCTAACGTACATATGCTGACGTAAGCAATTGTAAGTAGTATATGTTAGCAATTTATTCACTTTTGACTTTATTTCAATGAGTTATTTGTTAATGGGATTATCTGGAGAGGGAAAAATATTACCTCCATGTTCCATATGTACAACCAAAATTTTGTTGACATCAAATACTTGGTCTAAAGTTGATCTTTTTAGCTCTTACACCATCCTTAAGGTTCTGTGTACACAGTAGCAAGTGTCCTGGTAAGGATATGGATGGAAGAGTTCACTAAATCTCTCAAATGATAGTCGTTTATAATCTCTGTCATGAAACTGTTACTCTCTGCTTTCATCTGACTGGCAATATGTTTTTCCAAAGTGTGAGGACGTAAATCCAATTTGCCTCACTTTAACCTGATTAGTAGTTATGAATTGTTTTAAAACGTCGCAAAACCATGATTTCGAACCAAATAGCTTATAGGAGCTTTAAAATTTTCATCCGAACTCATTTTAGTCATTGGACATCTTATGAGTGAATCTCCTGATGTTTCTCCACTACCTTGTCGATTTAACCTATAGGTTAAGGACTCGATGGTTAGTTCCTTTAAGCTAAATACCCGCTTCTCATTATGACTGTCCAGGTAGTATCTCATTGTTTAGCACAACATACTACGTTCTTACTTGTTCATCTTACAATGATGTTTATTGCTTTCTTAAAGCTTTTAAAACAAATTGGCTAACATTATACAGAGATTTCTTTTCATTCTTATTTATAGATATCTATTCCAAATAATCGACATATTATTCAATGTAATTCATGTTCATCAACAACAGATCAGAAATCGTCCTCTTCGACATTCATTGAACAATTCAATCAAGATTCATCAGTTTTTAATTGTTTATCTAATCATTCTTGTACATTGGATTTATTAAATTGTTTAACTAATCTATTAAATGGTTTCTATAAATTGAACTATTATTCTACTGAATTCAATACTACTACTAATAATAATCATCATAGTATGAGTAGTCGTAGTAGTAGTATATCAGGTGGAATAAATGGATTTGCCACAACAACAACAACACCAACACCTTCATCATCGACAACATCATTAACCTCAATGATAACAACAAAAACTTTATTCGATGATGATTGTCATGAACAACAACATGTTAGAATTGATTCGCAACGACTTCAAGTAATGTTTCAGTTTGTTAATATTAATATTAAATTGAAGTGTATAAACATGTCATACAATGTAATTAACATTGCATGATATTATGCTCCCGACCGTTGTTGCTACCTTGACGTGGTGGTCGGGCTTGCCTATCGTGATGAAGCGACTGAGCTATACTGGCTGGAACAACCGTTCCTCAAGGTCCTACCATGCCAGACAGGTCGGTTGAAGAGCGGTAAGACTAAAAGCAACAAAACCAAGGTCCGAAGGCGAAGTCGTACTGCTGACTGTACAGAGGTGTGACAGCAGTAAGGTGTTTCCTTCAGACAACCAGCATGACAGCGATGCTGCCTTCCCACAAGGATGGGTGGAGTTAGAAAAGGTCGACCCTAAAAGTGCACACCTTGACTTATCCCACGGATATCGGTCTCCATCGGTAAGGTCTCAACAAGTAAGGAGCTAGCACAAAAACTGCTCATGAAAAGGTCGTGTGTGACCGACCTCAAGCAGCTGTCCCTTGGGCATTGCGGTCACGCTCTCAGGTCACTAAGACCATCTCTAATCCAATTTCCTTTTCAGGTATCTCCAGAAGAACACAAATGTATCAAGTTATTTTAATCACACGCTTTAAGGGAGGATAGAGAGTGTGTACACCTACACCATTGTGATCGATTCTGAGTCATATCACTCAGAGTCTCTAACTATTGGTTTGAGATCATTTTTAATTACTTTAGATGAATCAGAAATCATAAGCAAACATAGATAGTGGCTAGCATTGGAATCCAGTTTGACGCATGTTTCTTCCTATTTAGCGCCCATGAGTTGGATGTACCTACCACCTCCCAAAGTTCGTATTCTCTCTGGGACTCGAACCCAGTACCGTCCGTTTCAAATGCCGTTGCATTATCTACTTAGCTACTGAGTCCTGATAGCCACCTGCTTGTGCAATGGAGTGAAGTTATTTTCATTTGGTATTGTTTACTTGTATCTTCCCAACAAGAAACTGATCGATTTCAGTCCTAAATAACCATGGGAGGATACAAGTAAACAACACTAAATGAATCAGGAATTAGCTGTTTTCAAATAATTACTCGGTTTATTGATGTTGACCTATTTAACAAAGGTGAATTAACGGTTTTAAAATAAATCATAGTTTCGTTTATTCGCGGTAAATTTTACGCAAAATTTCCCAGCTATTAGAAAGTTGTGTGTGTTTGTAGACTCAGTTGATGGCTCATTTGTTTTCAACTTGTTTATATTAAGGTCGAGTATAGGTTCGATTCCCTCTTCACCTACATTAATTTTCATTTTTGAGTTCTCTTGGACTTAGAGAAGCAGTGTTACTCAAGGGCAATCATTGGTCTGAATAACTATACATGTGATGTGAATGTGTATATGAATGATGTGAATGGTCCACCAGGATGCTTGTTACCTGTATGGTTGCGCCACAGGATTGAGCTGTACTATTCAGATTGTAGTGTTAAAGCCTATACGGTGTCTGGTTCTTCTGCGAAGCGGAATTGAGCTATACTGTTTGGGTTGTCACGTGAAAGTCTGGATGGTGTCTGTTTCTCTTGAAAACCCTGGCTCACAAGGGTATATTATATAACTATGATATGTACATAAACTTATACTTTCTGGCTTAGTAACTAAAGCGTTTGATCTGTAGTTACTAGGTTTTGAACATAACCCTTCCTACTTCACTTTTGGGCAATCATGATGTTTCACTACTCTTTACACGTAGAATCAAGTTCATATCCAGCTACCTGGTGAATTATCATTACAAATTTTATTATTTATTATAAATTAGTTATATTTCGTACAAAACTTTAGACCAATTTTTTTCAGTATTTAATAAATTCGAATTCATTAACTTAATAGATACTACGTTAAAACAATAGGCACTTGATATTTGAATTACACTAAGATACAAGTATATATTCAACTGATGAGTCCCAAGTGGGACGAAACATACATATTGAATCACATTGATAACCATTATGAAATCTTTAACTAAAAATGGGAATACCAAAACTGACCAATATCAATCTCTGACAATGAGAACTTCATTGTGTTAATCCTTCGTTTTTTTCCTGACATAAACAAAGTGAATAATTTCAATATAGTTCCTTCATATTTTTTTGATTGAGATCATGAATTGACTGATGTTAGACCACCGTTGGAAACCTCGAAGCACTGGGCGGCCGTCTCGTCCTAGTATGGGACTCCTCAGCAGTCCAGTAGGTTAAGCGTTCGCGCGCGACACTGAAGGCCCCAGGTTCGAATCCCGCGAGCGGGATCGTGGATGCGCACTGCTGAGGAGTCCCATACTAGGACGAGACGGCCGTCCAGTGCTTCCAGGTTTCCAACGGTGATCTAACATCAGTCGATTCATGATCTCAATCAAAAACTTAATAATCTCCACAACCCCAATAATGATATTTTTTTGTTTGATATTTAGGATTTACTTAGCTACATTGTAAGTAGCGGTTTAGTTGATTTAATATCGATTAGATTGTCCAATCCAAAACAAGCTAATTGGTTATCATCCGTAAATAATAACCATACTGATATTGGACATTCGAATTCAATATCTAAACAATATACAGAATATTGTCAACAATTTGTATTAAGTAGTATTGCTTTTTTAACAAGCCTTACACGTTTACTTGGTATTTTATCAATGAAACAATGTAACAATGATCAATTGCATGTTGAACATTATCATCATCATCAACAAACACAAACTTCCAATTCAACTGTTACTACTACATCAAGTTGTTCTTCTATGTCAAAGTCATTAATTGTTGTTGATTCAATAGGAGGAGAAGATCAAGTAACAGATATTGACGAAGAAAATGATTCAGAAAATTGTGTAAATGTATTAACTGTAAAATGGTATGTTGATTGTGATGAGATGATTGAATTTTAAAATATTATTTATAATTTAAATTGGTTAGAGGAGATCGGTAAGAAGCTCTAAACCTTCTGCTTATTCATCCTCCATCAAGATTATTATTTTATTTATTTATTTATTCGAACACATAAATACTGGTACAAGGAGGCAGCAAATACATATGCATCACACAAATCAAATGAGATTTGTGTGAGGGTTGTAAAACTGCTCGGGTGCCCGAACATAAGAAGGTGGTTTTCTTAGGGGGCCATACCCGGAGCCTTCGACATAAAGGTCTGATCTACAAGGCAGTGGAGCATCATAAAGAGATACAGTCCCATGGTAGACGGTGACCAACAATAGGTTCATACGTCATTTGTTGCCTCAGGATACTGGATCCCATATGCACAATTGGTTTGGAATGAGGGTTTTCCAACTCCCCTAGGTAGACCCTCCATATCCATCAAGCTAGTTAAAGCTCCGGACATTCACTTTTCGTCCTCTCAATTTCGTAAGCAACACCCGTTGTGCAATAAGGCAGTGAGTAGGATTTCCATGTTAGTGGTTGTATACGCGTGGCCATGTGAGGGCATTTGGAGAGGGAGAGCTGACTCTCCCCACTCTCGGCCGTACCAGGACTTTTGGGAGCCCATCAGGATTAAGCGGTGGCTTAGTGTTTAACGCTTTTGATTTTCAATTATTTAATCGCAAGTTCGTTCCCCTCACTTCAACTACTTTGTTTTAGGCAATCGGACATTATCATTAGCTTTCATATTTGTGTATGATTGGAAGCCATATACACTAATCTGTATCTAATGAATGAGTTAAATAATAAATAGATATCGCGTTGATATGTGAAATGATAAACTCTAGGTTCTAGCCTCTGCATGAACATCAACACTGAGATCCAGGTATATTTTATTCAACAACACAAAAGGTGATATCTCATTAGTTCATTTCATAAAGTTCCATTCAAGCGTTGGGATTAGACGGGGTTGCCCAATCTCACCATTCCTCTTCAACTTTGCCATCGATGACATTCTGGAAACAGCTCTGATTGATGTAAGTAATGGCGGTGTGGATCTGTTGCCTGGAGAAAGACTTCTCGACCTTGAGTATGCGGATGATATTGTCTTACTGTGCGATAATGCCCAAGCCATGCAACCCGCACTTAATCAGTTGGCAATCAGTGTCCGTAGGTATGGTATGTGCTTTGCACCTTCGAAGAGCAAATTACTTCTACAAAACTGGCAGGATTATAATTCTGTACTCAGCCTGGGTGGTGAGCAGATAGAAGTAGTCGAGAAGTTCGTGTATCTAGGTAGCTGCATAAGTGTCGGTGGTGGCGTGAGTGATGAGATCAATGCACGTATAGTGAAAGCCAGAGCGGCTTATACCAATCTGGGCCACCTTTGGCGCCTCCGTGATGTTAGTCTGGCTGTAAAAGGTCGGATTTACAACGCGTCGGTGAGAGCAGTACCGCTCTATGCTTGTGAAACCTGGCCTCTCCGAGTTCAGGATGTTAGACGACTGTCCATGTTTGATCATGGTTGTCTCCAGTGGCAACACCATGTTAGTAATGCAGAGGTTCGGCATCGTGTATTCAGGCACAGAGACGACAATCCAATTAGTGTCACCATCTTGAAACATCAACTTCGGTGGCTTGGACATGTTCTACGAATGTCGTCCCAGAGAATTCCACGTTGTGCATTATTTTCCTACTCTAGGACTGGTTGGAAGAAGCGGAGAGGTAGTCAGTATATGACATGGTGTAGGGTATGAAAGAAAGCTGCCCAAATCGAAGCAGGTGGTTTTCTTAAGGAACTACATTTGGAGTTTTTGATCTGAAGGTCACTGTCACACGCTTAACTGATGTCTAAATGTTATTACCTTTTAGTGAAAAGTGTTTTTTCCCAAGAAAACGTTTTAAATTACAATAGATTCAATTTAGTAAATGTCTATAATTACTTTTTAATTGAATTCTCTTATTGTAATGTCTGATCCATTTTTATATTGGTTGCTAGAATCTTTCCATTGATGTTTAGCACTGCTATTGATCAGTCTCTTATTGGCATATATGCATCCTGTATGGATTGCATGATATTGCCTTAAGTCGTAAGCATATTATAAGCAGTGATGAATGGATGGATGGTGGCTAGCAGTGGAATCTAGGACGCACATTTTATCTTATTTAGGACTTTTTGACTGAAGGTATCTGTTACATCCCAGAGGTAATTTTAACCCCGGGACTCGAATTCAGTACCATTAGCTTCAAACAACATCGCGTTACTCACCTATTTACTTTTTCTAGATGACCTCTAGCTTGTGCGATGAGATGAAGTTTAATTCATTTTTGTATTGGTTTGTCTAGTGTTTTCCACTGATGTATAAGACTGTAATTGATCAGTTTCTTATTGGCATCTATGCTTTTAATAATTGTAATGTTTATTTGTTTTATAGTAAAAATATTAACTCATCTCATGATCCAACAACAATCACTAACACATCTGTCAAAGTCAACTCATCTGATAAATTGGATTCAAAGAAACAATTCAAAGATCCAACACAATTGTTAGAAACTATTAGTAGTACTGAAGTGTTTGGCTTAGTACCATTATTATATTGTCTTTTATTGGATCCAAAAAATAGTCGATCAGTTGATACAACGACAACAATAGGAGTTAGTGTAAATAATGATTCACAATTGACAACAATAAATTGCACTATGCCAACATCAGAATGTTCCGATAATATAGGTATGTTGATTAATAAAACTGTTGTATATTCTTGGTATGCAAATTAAGGCTGACGAGAGAGAGAGAGAGAGAGAGAATGAGATATATGTGGTACAAAAATTTGGACATAAACTGTAGGAACAGATTGAGTACCTTATACGCAACAATACTTGAACGGTGAAAACCATAAGATAGGAAAAAAATTTTTCTAAGAATTTTTATATCTTATATAAAGATGACTAGAACCAATGCTTTCAACGTGGTATCAGTAGGCCTCAACATACACAAGGGGGAAACCAAGGTCCTCAGATTCAACAGCAATCCAATCACACTTGGTGGCGAAACTCTAGAAGATGTAGAATCCTTCACATACCTAGAAAGCATCATCAATGAACAAAGAGGTTCAGCTTCAGACGTAAAAGCGAGGATTGGCAAAGCAAGGGCTGTATTCCTACAATTGAAGAAAATGTGGAACTCAAAACAATTTTCAACTAATATCAAAGTAACAATCTTCAATACAAACGTCAACACAGTTCTACTGTACGGAGCTGAAACGTGGAGAACTACAACAACCACCATCAAGAAGGTACAAGTATTTATCAATAGCTGTCTACGCAAGGTACTCAACATCCATTGGTCGGATACCATCAGCAACAGTTTTTTGTGGGAGAGAAAAAACCAGCTTCCAGCTGAAAAGGAAATTAGGAAAAGGCGATGGAAATGAATAGAACATACATTGAGGAAATCATCAAGCTACGTCACGAGGCAAACCCTAACTCGGAATTTCGAAGGGAAGAGGAAAAGAGGAAGGCCGAAGAACACATTACATCGGGAAATAGAAGCGGATATGAAAAGGTTGAATAACAACTGGAATGAGCTGGAAAGGATTGTTGAGGACAGGGTTGGATGGAGAATACTGGTGAACAGTCTATGCTCCTTCACGAGGAGTAACAGGTGTAAGTAAGTAAGTAAGTATATAAAGATGAGTTCTATCTATACCGTTGTAGATAATGCTGGACTATGTCATCCAAACACTAGTCGTGGTTACTGCGTAGAACCCAACCAGGAGGTCTTCACTTAATAACATAGCCTAGATCAACAGTTAGTGACTTACGGAATGAATTGATGACAAGTTATAATTTGGTTGTATGTAGCTTTCTTCTAAGTCATCCCTACACCAGCTAATATCACATCGACATAGGTAGTGTTTAAACGTACGTAACGTATATTCCAACCATCTTAGTCAATGAATTAATAAAACACACTATGTCTATATATATATGTACTCAGTTTTACTGTTATTCATACTTCTGTTATTTCTCTTAGTTGGTTGTTTATCTTGATGTCTGTTGAATTATTATTGATAGTAATACTTCTACTGTTATGATTTTCATCCCTGCTTCCTGATGTAGTCTGATGAATTGAACCGATACATATAGTTGTCAGGTTCTATATAATATATAACTGACTAACTGTTAGTTTTATCTCATTTTACTGATATTATTAGATGACGATGCAGGTTGATGTATATTTATTCCAGATTGTATTTCACTTATAACTCCTTCATTAATTACATCAAGTTCTGACAAATTTGAAGGAAGTACGTGCTTATTTAACAATTTATTTATTTAAACACATAAAAATTGGTAGGCACCAAATAGATAAGCTCCATGTTTCGTCATTCGATTTGTTTGAGGGCTTGAATACTGCCCAGGCACTCAAATCTAAGCAGGTGGTTTTCTTAAAGGGTCACTCCTCGAGTCTTTAACCTAGAGATCTAATCCACTAAGAAGTGGAGCAACGTTAGTGTTGGGTCGGCTTTCCGAGAACTGCCTCCAAAAGCCCTAAAGGAGCCGAAGAGTCCTAGTCAATCAGAGCATGATGGAGCTTTCCAGAATATCAACGTGGCGTGCTACTGTTGGTCAGTAGCATAATATGTCTTTTAGTGGATTGGCCAAAATATTATGCAGATTTAACAAATGTTAACATCTATAAATACCCGTGTTTTTCTGTACAAAAATGAACCTTTGGAGTAAAGTGCTTTCGCATTCTTTGCGCCATTTCTCTCGTGTTCAGGTCACTGTATAGTTCTAGCTTGGGGGTTTTCAAGAATAGCTTAGGAACCGAGTATAGCGTTCAAATTGCAAAACTTATCAGTTAGGAGATTCAGTCCTATGGTATTCGGTGACCAAAAATAGGTCCATACACCATTTGTTCACTTAGGATTTTGGCGCTCATATGAACCATTGGTTTGGAATCAGGGTTTCCTAACTTCCTTAATTGGATCCTTTACATCAACCAACCCTGTTTAAGTCCCTACCTGACATTCTCTTTTCGTCCTCTCAGTGTCGTAAAGAACACTCATACCGCGAGAAGGCAGTGGATAGTACTTCCCTGACAGTGGCTGTATACGCGTGACCATATAATTGCATTTGGAGGAGAGTGAACTCTCATCACCCTTGATCATACTAGGGCAGATATTAATATTACTAATCAAGTACTTATTTACAGTATAGTTAGTGTATAACCTTAATGTTCATAAGTGATATATATGATGATATTTACCTATCCTATGTAAAATTTGTATCAATTGTCTTTTCTATTACTCCCGCCGTATCCTTCGTTCTTTTTTCTGTCATCAAACTTGTAGATCATCGTCGAAAATCAACACAAACAAAAAAATCTTCAATCAATTCAAAATCATCATCATCATCATTATCTGCAGTGTGTAATTCCAACTGTCATGATTCATTCCCATTTAGTAGTGAAATTATAGCAGAGATTACTTTGAATACATTAAAGTTAATTAATTCACTAGCTTCAATTCATAAAAATACTATGCAGGTAAGAAAAAAAAATGGTTGTCCTATTTATCTTTCCATGTAAACATTTTATTCTTTCTAAACTCACTGTCTAAATAGTTAATATAGAGTGGATAGGATGTGACTAGTGGTGGTGGGATCCAGGACTCAGGTTAGTTGAATATACTTTCAACATCCCATAGTTGATATTCACATCTAAATTCCAACCCAGTACTGTTTAATTCAAACAAAATCGTGTAATCCACATAGAAGTTACTATGTCCAAATAGACACTAACTTATAGAACCGGCATGAGACTCAATTCAATTTGAAATTATTTGGATTATCCCGTTGGTTGACTAATACTCCTTGATTGTCAATAGATTTTTCGAAAATTTATATCGAAGCTGTTCATCAAGTTATCATCAATCAGTCACAACGTAGAAATTCGTACATACATATATCAGTTCGTGTTACCATACTATATTAGCACACAGATAAAACTGTCGATTCAAATCCCATGTTGATAGAGGTAGTAAAATTATAACCAGTAATCAGAAAGATTGGGATTTGGAGATGTTATTCAAGGAGTATAATCCAGTGAAATAAATTTGGAAAGAGAAAAAAACAGGGACATAAAGAATTTAGAAGATTACAATTTGGGAGAACACAAACTGTTGATGCACCTGCGTCATTGAGTCATGTTATTCAAGGTCTCTAATCATCGGTTGCTATTGTCTCGCGGATCCAGACCAGATAGTCTACACCTACCGACATGGCTCAGTCTACTTGTCAATGACTTCATGGATTTGTTTCATGTTTCGTTTTGGTCGCCTCTAGCTTTCTTTCAACCTACTCCTACACCATAAAACATAGCACGTCGGGGCAGTCGGTGGTTGGGCAAGTAGTATATTTTGAGATACGCAAGAAAAAATGAACGTGATATAAATGAAAGTCAAATCAGATTTAACACTTACATAAATCAATGTGAAATAAATAAGTTACACTTATTCAATTAAAGAAATCCTGACTTTTGTTTCAGTTAGTTAGTGATACATATAAGAGGTATGATTTTCAGTATGAATTTCATTGCAATTGTCTAAATATTTTCGCTGACATACATGCTACTTTATAGAGACAGATATAAGTAGTATGTTACACCAATCGGGAGTGGAAGACCTGGCAGCAGAAAATTAAAAAGTTCAATTTGAAAAGAATAGAAATAAATTGTGGACTGGAAGAATCATACAGAATGTAAAGAATAAATAAAGTATTCAATGTATAATTCTTATATCTTTCTATTTAAAAACAATCGATTGTCCCTACCTGTGTTCTCGTTCAAAACTCAACCACTATAGCGTATACCTCAACTTGTAAAATGAAGAAAACAAACAAACATGGAACATGAAAGTTATAACTTGAAATGAATTTCCTAGTGAAAATTGTACATTTCCATACAGTATCTAGTTATCAAATAAATGGTAAATATACGCCTACATATGCCTGGTCCGTCAAGGCTATCCACTTTCTCCATTTTTATTTAACTTCGTCATAGACCTACTGATGGAAATGACGTCCTCGTCGACTGAATTCTCGAACATTGATGTCCTTCCAGGAGGACCACTTATCAACTTAAAATACTCGGATGACATAGTCCTGTTTGGTGAAGACGCTGATAAAATGCTGTCTTTTGGCAGAACTGAGCAACAATGCCAGAATGTTTGGGATGCGCTTCTCTTCCTCTAAATGCAAGTTGTTGCTTCAGGACTGGCCTGCATCGACACCTGAACTAATGATAGGGAGTAAAGTAGTCGGATGCGTCGACGATTTCACTTATCTTGGAAGTCTGATCAACCCTAATGGGTTGGTGTCTGACGAAATCTCAGCACGGAATCGGTAAGCTCGTTTGGTTTTCGCCAACTTACGTCACCCATAGCGAAGGCGAGATATCCATCTATCAACAAAAGGACGAGTATACTGCACCGCATTTCGTTCTTTTTTACTTTACGGCAGCGGAACATGGACATTGAGAGTTGAAGATACTTTTAAGCTACTAGTGTTTGACCACAGATGTCTTAGAAATATTGCTCGCATCTACTGGGATCACCGGGTAAGTAATAGTGAAGTTAGGGAATGATGATGGTAAATCAGTTGATGAGGATGGAAATCTTCAATGACTGGGATGATTGGGCTTGAAATCCGATTACCATGACGTGTAATGTTAACCGGTGTTGGGAATGGTTGGAAGAGAGTTAGGGGCGTCCAAACCAAAACGTGGCATCAGTGCTTGAAGTCACTAACTTCTGGTCTGAGTCATGTCGGTAGATGCAAACTACTTGGTTGAGATCTGCGTGACTATCTTAATCAATGGTTGGAGACTGTGAGTGACATGGCTCAAAATCGATCACAATGGTGTAGGTGTATACCCTCTTTGTCTTCCCTTAAACTATGAGATTAAAATCACTTCGTATATTCCTTTCTATGAACTAATTCTTTATTCCTTTACTATGTCGTAATATGCAATTTTCTTTTATATATTACCATCATTGACTTAACCACTCCTATGAACCCGGTGTTCATCTTGTTGGACTAATAAGTGAGGTATAGGGATTTGGACCGATGCATATATGTGCCTGGTCCTACGTTGTAGCTGACTGACTGATTGACTACATACCCTTAATACCACTCATGTATTAAACATTGAAAGATAGATATGTTACAAATTGACAAATATATAATTTATTTTATTATATTTTAGTCAATTCTTGGCGGTGAACTTATTTGTCTTTTAATGAGACATATATTGATTAATCTATTGACACGTTGTATTCCTCAATCGAATACTTATTCTCTTCAACAAAACAATTCTGATAAAACTCCATTACATCATCCTTCCACTCCTCGACAAGATAAACAGCAATATCAAGTAGAATTTAAATCGAATACACTTAGTAACAAGAATATCAATAATAATCGTCAATATCAATTAAATAATGATCATAATGTTGATGATGATAATGATGATGCAACAGATCTTCTGCTGTTACCAAGTGGTGCACGAAAAATTATTGTCAAATCAAAACATTTACAACCATTGAAATCGACAAATAGTGAACATACTCAAATTGTTAAATGTAAAAATTCCTCTTCAATAAAGTTGACTAGTTCACATAGTGGTGATAATCAAGCAATTGATAACAAGTAGGTTATATTGTTTTGGAAAATTTTTTTTATTTATTTGAACACATAAACATTAGTACAAAGAGGCACCAAACAGATATGCGGACTGTGATACTACCCGGATTCCCAGATCGAAGGAGGTAGTTTTCTTAGGAGGTCAGACGCAAAGCTTTCGACCTAAAGGTCTGATCCATAAGGCAGTGGAGCAACGTCAGTGTAGACGCAGTCTCATGGTAGGCAGTGATCAATAATAGGTTCATACTCCCTTTGTTCCCGTAGGATCGTAGAGCCCATGTGCAACATTGGTTTGTAATCAGTGTTTTCCAAATCCCCTATATGTATTCTCTATATGCACCAACAGAACGAGGTGCCGCGCAGTATGCTCGTGTATTAATTGATATCTCGCCTTCGCTATAGGTGACGTAAGTTGGCAAAAGTCAAACGAACTTTCCGAATCCATGATGAGATTTCGTCAGATATCAATCCATTAGGGCTGATCAGACTTCCAAGATAAGTGAAATTGACGACGCGTTCAACTACTTCACTGCCTATCCTATTATCTCATTAGTGAACGATAATCAGTGAATACAGTTTATTTTTATTTTATTTTAACACATAAGTCTAGGTACAGGGAGGCACCAAATACATATGCGTCACACAAATCTCAATTGATTTGTGTGAGGGCTGTGATACTGCCCGGGTGTCCAAACCGAAGCAGGTGGTTTTCTTAGGGGGCCACACCCCGAGTCTTTGACCTGAACGTCTGACCCACAAGGCAGTGGAGCATCGTGAGGAGATGCAGTCCCATGGAAGCCGGTGACCCACGATTGGTTCATACGCCATTTGTTCTCGCAGGATACTGGAGTCAGCCCATGTGCACCATTGGTTTGGGGTCCGGTTAAAGCGCCGGACATTCGCTTTTCGTCCTCTCATTTTTGTAAACAACACCCGTAGTGCGAGAAGGCAGTGAGTAGGACTTCTCTGGCAGAGGCTATATACGCATGGTCATGTGAGAGCATTTCGAGAGGGAGAGCGGACTCTCCCCACTCTCGGCCGTACCAGGGCATTTGGGGGCAGTGAATACAGTTGTTTACCAATGGTTATGAATTTTGGAATAACTTTCTTTCTAAATACATATGTTTATGTATTCAGTTTTTAAGTTATATTGCAAATAGGAGGGTTTATGATACTCTTGTGAATGAAAATTCATTTGAGGATAACCAATTTATTGTTTAATGCAAAATTACAGAGTGCATTTGTAAAATATGATAAACACCCATTATTTGCACATCTTCTTTACGTTGTCATTTACATAATCCATTATCCCTTTAATTCTGTTGGGATTTAAATTGCTTACCGATTTCTTTCCTATGTACTCCATTTCAATCTTTTGATGCTAGACATTCTATTTACAATTGGTGCTACATACTACTTATATCTGTAAGCATGAATAATATACACTACAATACTACTGAAATGCGTAAATTGAAATTAAGTGGAGTATGATCAGAACTGAGTTTTAACCAGTAATCAGTTAGTCATGCACAATGTAGAACCTTGCACATATGTACTGCATTTCAAGTTATCCATAGCACAGTACAATGGGATAAAATTATTTCATTGATAAATAAAAAGGTATAAGGAGATTAAGAGAAGCTAAAGTGTGATTGCACTCTTGTGTCATTGTGAGTGGTTTTCAGGTATGATAAACATTCAGACCCCAGCCGAGTAGTATACACTTGTTAACATTGTTTCGTCTAATTGTCAATGACTTCATGAATTAATACTATAAATCAAATTAGATTTAGGTAGAGTTGTTTTCTCTGTAAACTGAATAGTTTGGTCGTACACCTTTCATTATTCTTCTGAATAACATCATCAGCACAAAATTTAGATTGTTGTTGACTTTCAACCTATCATAACAGGTATCTTTAGATCACGGTCGACAAGATAAGCTTTGAGTCACACACTTGAGGTTTCTGCTTATGATGTCGTTCAGAAGAACAATGAAATCTTCACCATCACATTCATCATAGTACTTACCCGCCCCGTCCCGTCCCCCCTCCCTTTAACCTTACATAATGATTGTATGTTTTCTTTTTTCTTTTTTTCTTTTTAAAGGTTTATCCAATCTTATATGTATAAAATAACCAATCATATTTTACATGAAGTTATATTATGTATTGGTTATTTATGTGTATTAAATTCTGATAATCAAACTAGTTTACAATGTGGTTCATCACCAAATCTCCTTCAACGTTTATTATTATTACCTTTTGAATATTTTAGTTATTGTCCATTAACAGATATATTATATCCAACATTAATTGCTTGTTGTTATAAGCATTCATTAAATACTAGTATTTTAGAAACTGAACTTAGTCCATCTATATTAGCTAATTATATTGAAGTAAGTTATGCCATATATATATATATATAGATTAGTTTACCTTTTTGTTGTTGTTGTTGTTATCTGTTATAATTCATGATCTTGTACCTCTATGAATATATTACGTAATGATACCATCGATTAGAGAATAGTGAATTATCAATCGAACCAATGACGTATAAAACTTGTATAAACTGTCTAGAGTCTTTATGGGGTCCTACTTCCTGTCTAGCCCTGCTTGTTGAGTGCAGAACCGCAATCTCAGCCTCCACGATACTGCCCGGGTTCCCAAACCAAAGCAGTTGGTTTTCTTAGTGGGCCATACCCCGAACCTTCGATCTAAAGGTCTGATCCACAAGGCAGTGGAGCATCGTAAGGAGATGTAGTCCCATGGTAGCCGGTGACCAACGATTGGTTCATACGCCATTTGTTCCTTCAGGATACTGGAGCCAGTCCATGTGCACCATTGGTTTGGGATGTGGTTAAAGCGCCGGACATTCGCTTTTCGTTCTCTCATTTTCGTAAACAACATCCTTGGTACGAGAATGCAGTGAGTAGAACTTCTCTGACAGAGGCTATATACGTGTGACCATGTGAGAGCATTTCGAGTGGGAGAGCGGACCTTCCCCACTCTCGGCCGTACCAGGGCATTAATAGACCAGGCATAACTCAAGAACGGTAAACCGTATAATAATCGTCCATGGGTCAAAATAAAACTTACAATAAGAGGGACATGAATGTGTATAGTTTTGTTATTTAACAATTATGCGGTATAAATATACGTATCATATTTGTCCATTAATGGATCCCAAAAGTTACCATAGATTATTTTCATCGGGATATAACACTATCATCTTTTAAAAACTATACATCTTATAAGTCATATTCTAATCTCTCCTTAATGACGAAGTTGAATGAAATTAGTTTGATAAGAAGAAGAAAAATGCGTGACACATTGATCATTTGTTTGGTAAGTTGGTCAATTAATGGTTTAAGGAGAGATCATAATTTATAGACGATTATGAATAAGTATATAGTTCTCCAGTTAACTGGTATATTAAACAAGTTATCCATCGATGGAGCGAGATTCTAAAGTCTTAGCTAAGGAACCCTGTTGTCCTATTTGGCACAGTGTTCGGACGTTGAAAGCTCCTACGTGTAGTTTGGAGCGTGGTTTCAGGAGACCAGGAATAACATTCCGCGTACTCAAATCGTTCGCACTAGCGGGGCGAGGTGATAAAGGGACATAAGAAGGGTTAGTCGTGGAGATAAGAGAGTTATTAAGAGGTGTAGGAAGGATTTCAATGTGACCAACTTGGTCTCGTGTGCTGTTACGGGTATGAGGGCTGATATCACTTCCCGGTTGCCCACACCGTGGAAGGGTATTTCTTGAGGAACCTGATAAGGAAATCGGATTAGTGTTGGTCTTAGCGACCTGAGTGCGAGACCGCAGAGTCCAAGGGACAACTGCTTGAGGCCGGTCGCGCACGGCCTTCAAAGGGCCTTACCGCCGGAGACGGAAATCCGTGGGGTAATGTGAGGTGTGACATTTTTAGGGTCAACCTTTTCTAACCCCTTCCTTCCTTGTGAGAAGGCAGCATCGCTGCAGATGCTGGTTGTCCAAGGGAAACACCTTACTGCTGTCACACCTCTGTACAGTCAGCAGTACTGTAGTGAGTAAAACACCAGTGTATTTAACAACGAATTACAGAACTAGTTAGTAAAATCAAACAACCATATATTAAATCGTTAATTTGCAAATTGTTCATCAATTGTCTCAAATCGCTCAGAATCCCCTTGTTCTTGCATTTTCATACAAATTGCCTTCTGTCTTCATTCTTTATTGTTCGATCTTCTTATCTCTCTGCCGCCAGACATTCTGTTCAGTGCTCACGTCATATACTACTTATATTTACATAAGTAGCACACACCACAGTACGACTTCGCCCTCAGACCTTGAGTTACTGCTTTTAGTCTTACCGTTCTCCAATCGACCTGCCTGGCATGGTAGAACCTGCAGAAACATGTGTTCCAGCCAATATAGCTCGGTTGGGTCATCACGATAGGCAAGCCCGACCACCACGTCAAGGTAGCAGCTACGGTCGGGCAATCCTGTTAACTATGTTTGATTGTATTTCCCTAAGAAAAATAAACGTTGGATTTACTGAGATTTGGCAAAGATAACTCTTCCACCCAACTACTTTGTTAATATTCGTTCAACTTTAGAAGAAAGTTCTTATAGATTGCTACACTTGTTCCTTTAGATCCTACTATATACAGAACTTCTAGTAATACTATCGAATGTACTGAGGTGTATAACAGTAGTAAGATGTTTTCTATATATATATAACTTATATTTATAATTATATGATGGAGAGGATCTAGAAAAGAATGCCCCTTCGTTTTGTCTGAAGGCTTTCTAGTGCCAATGATAAGATCTAAAATATATAGAGATAATCGACTAAAACAGTACTCATAATAATGTTGCATGTGATCAGGATCAAGCAGTTCTGTTTTGAAATGTTTGGTTACTCGCTTAAATAGATAGAAGTAAAGTGAACATGAACTCAATTAGGGAAGACCAATCTAGTATCTCATACAAAATTACAGAATGTCTTGGTAAAATATGACAATGATACATTAAATGCTTCATGTGCAAATATGCCATCAATTATCTTTTACATTCTGTCTGATTCTTCTAATTCACAGTTCTTTTCTGTCTTCTTCAATTCGATCCTCTTAGCCTTTTGCTGCCAGCCACTCATGCATACTACTTATGTCTGTCGACATATGGAGCATACACTATAGCAGCATGAGCTACTGGGAAGTGAAAAAAACCATTCAGTCCTAACACTTGAATCTTAGTGTACTGAAGTTCTTGAGATATGTATTACTTATGACCAACTACTCCCTACCTCGATGCACAAGTTAGGTAATGTAATGTTAGGTTGGAAGATATCTACAAGATGGCGAGAATCAAGACATGATATCGGTCTATATAGGTAGTTAGGTGTAGACTACCCGATCAAGACCCGTATGATTATTATAACTAATGGTTATAACACAGAATCAGTCCCAATCGCTCCAATACATACACATATACATAGTTACCAGGTTCTACATTATGTAGGACTAACTTTAGTCTCTCCTTTTTTTGTTAACTTGTATATATTCTCAATTATATTTTGTACAATTATCAGTCGTTTCATTTATATAAAACTCCGCCTGGAGTCCCTCTGGGGGCTACTGCCGGTCCCAAGCACGGATAAATGAGGAGGGTTAGGCATAGGGTTAGCGACCCCATCGCGTAGAAAACTAACTCGCCAAAAAAACGCTAACCAGAAAAAAAAATCCATTTATATAAACTAATATGTTCATTATAGTTTTGAAATTTATCAATAAACTTCGATTAGAATAGTTGTCTTGTTTTTATTTCTTAGGAACGTTTACTTGAGAAGAAGGTGAATTCATTCGGAAAAATTGAGAAGAAATGTAATAATAATGAATTTCTAGGTTAGTGATTTGTCTTGAACATATACATTCTGTATTTATTCTATTCATTCAAGTTTTCAACATTACAGATGACTTAACTCTTCTACTTCATACATAGCAACAAAGCAGATGAAGATAACCATTGTATCAGCAATCTCTGTGGCAGTAAGCCTCAACATACATAAAGAAAAAAGCAAGATACTAAAATACAACACAGTGGGTACCAATCAAATCACACTTGATAGAGAAGCTCTAGATGAAGTGAAAACTGTTACATACCTGAGTAACATCATTGATAAACAATGAGAATTTAATGCAGACGTAATGGTAAGGATTGACAAAGCAAAGACAGCATTCCTCCAGTTAAAGAACATATTGAACTCAAAACAACTGGCAACCAACATCAATGTCATAATCTTGAATACGAATGTCAAGACAGTCCTACTATACGGAGCTGAGACATGGAGAACTACCACAGCCATCATAAAAAAGGTACAAGTATTTATAAATAGTTGTCTAAATATGATACTGAATGTCCATTGGTCGGATACTATCAGCGGTGACCTACTGTGAGAGAAGACAAACCAGCTTCCAGATGAAGAGGAAATGTGGATAGGACATATATTGAGGAAATCACAAAGGAAGCTCTAACATGAAATCTTTGAGGCAAATGGAAGGGGTTAAACCAAGTGATACATTGGGCCGGGGACCGGAGGCAGTTATCGAGAAAATGAATAGCACATGAAAATGGTCGGAAATGTGGGGCCTCATGACAAAATAGGTTGAAGAATCCTAGTCAGCAGTCTATGCTCCACGAGGGGTAACAGTTGTAAGTAAATAAGTATGATATATAACTGATCGGTAGTTTGCTGTTGAACGTAATCCCAACCATTGAATAGCAGTCTCGAATACCACCTCAAGCTTCAACCATCTGCATCTATTTTCGGCAGTTTTTACGTATTACCAAAAGTCGTCATTTGAAAGCCAGGTATATACATACAATCGTAAAGTTGAACCATAAAAGTGAGCCGATGATAAACGTAAAAATCGTTTCGCATTCACAGTGCCTACATCAAAACAAGTATACCGTCAATCAATGATAAAATAGATGAGGGAGCTACAATCAGGGTTCTTATCATGCTACAAGAACGATTTGTATCCATATGAAGGATGAAGGAATTTTGATCAAAAATCTAAGAAGCACTTTTGTAAATCTGTCTACATTATAAGCCAATTCATATGTGTATTTTCCTGATAGGCTGAATGGGTCAAGGATTTCTCAAAGTACGGAAGCTCACGCTTATTATTTAACTTTACCATCATAGATCATACATCATGTCAGGTGAACAATCACTATGCTTTTACAATATCAGACTCATCTTCGACTTGTAGGATACGACTATTCGTTGAGATTTATTTGTTAAATATTGACTATCTTGAGTAGTGGATGAAACTTTTTAAAGCTTTATATACTAGAACATCTTAAGTAGAATAAGAGGACATATTCATCGTGTTACTGTTTGCTATGAATCAATAAAGTAGGATTAGACACCCATCGGATTGTTCAGTCACATAATTTCTTTCCTATTGTTTACCATTGATATTATATTCTGTAAACAATTTTGAAAGGAAACCATTATATAGATAATTGTTTTCCGACTACGAGTACGCTAATTAAATCGTCTTATTGCATGCCAAAACTTCACTTATAATCATGAAATAATTATTTCAATGAATGAATGTCAAGGCGGAACACTCGAAACCTTTGATCTAAAGGTCTAATCCACATGGTAGTGGAGAAACGTCAGGAGATGCAATCCCATGGTAGTCGCCATTTTTCCCACAGGATCCTTGGGCTCATGTGCACCATTGATATGGAATCAGGGTTTTCCAACTCCCCTGGTTGGATCATCCATATCCTCTTAATTTTATAAATAATACTCGTGCAGTGAGAAGGCCCTAATGGATTGGTGTCTGAAGAAATATCAGCACGGACTCGAAAAGCTCGTTTGGCTTTTGCCAACCTACGTCACCTTATGGCGAAGGCGAGATATCCGTCTATCGACAAAAGGATGAGTATACTGCGCGGCAGTTCGTTCTGTTCTACTTTACGGCTGCGAAACATGGACATTACGAGTTGAAGATACTCGTAAGTTACTAGTATTTGACCACAAATATCTTGGAAATATTGCTCACATCTACTGGGATCACCGGGTAAGTAATAGTGAAGTTAGACGCAGAGTGTTAGAGAATGATGCTGGTAAATCATTTGGTGAGGTTGTGAATCTTCATCGACTGAGATGGTTGAGCCACGTGTTACGTATGTCTGAATTCCGATTACCGTGACACGCAGTGCTGACTAGTGTTGGGGATGATTGGAAGAAAGTTAGGGGCGTCACACATAGATATTGGTACAAGGAGGCACCAAATACATATGCGCCACACAGATCTTATTTGATATGTGTGAGGGCTGTGATACTGCCCGGGTGCCCAAACCGAACCAGGTGTTTTTCTTAGGGGGCCACACCCCGAGCCTTCGACCTAAAGGTATGACCCATAAGGCAGTGGAGCATCGTAAGGAGATGCAGTTCCATGGTAGCCGGTGACCAACGATCGGTTCATCCGCCATTTGTTCATTCAGGATACTGGAGTCAGCCCATGTGCACCATTGATTTGTGATCCGGTTAAAGCGCCGGACATTCGCTTTTCGTCCTCTCATTTTCGTAAACAACATCCGTGGTACGAGAATGCAGTGAGTAGGACTTCCCTGTCAGTGGCTATATACACGTGGCCATGTGAGAGCATTTTGAGAGGGAGAGCGGACTTTCCCCACTCTCGGCCGTACCAGGGCGTTTGGGGGCAGGCCAAATCAAAACGTGGCATCAGTGCTTGAAGTCACTAACTTGTCATCTTAGTCATGTTGGTAGATGCAGACTACTCGGTTTTGATCCACGTGGCTATCGTAATCAATGGTTGTAGACTGTGGGTGACATGGCTCAGAATCGATCACAATGGTGTAGGTGTATACCCTCTTTGTCTTTCCTTAAACTAAGAGATTAAAATCACTTCATATCTTTCTTTCTACGAACTAATTCTATCTTCCTGTACTATCTCCTTATATGCAATCTTTCTTTTATATGTTACCACAACTGAATTAACTACTTCTATGATTCCGGTGTTCATCTTGCTGTGCTAATGTAATATGGCAACTTGGATCGATGCACATATGTGCAGCTGACTGACTGACTGAGAATGCAGTAGATAGTACTTCTCTGATAATGGTTGTATACATATGATCTTATGAGAGTATTTAGTGAAGTGAGCAAACTCTCTTCACTCTTAGCTTTACCAGGGTCACTAATCCTACTTATTTCTTTTTAAGTATCATCTATATTATCTAAAATCAATATTAGTTAAATACAATTGTTTGTTTGTTTTGTCTATTCTATTTTAGATGAACGATTCAATTTTGAGAAACGTTTTAATATTTCAGAATGGAACTCTGCTAAAACTTATTTCTCAAGATGATAATAACAAACAATGTACACACAATATGACAATTGTATAAATTGAATATCATTATCATGTAAATCAATGAGATTAGAATTGATGGACAACCTTTTAATGATGCTAAAACTAATCTTGAAAGTGTTCAATTAATAACTAGGACCAAATAAAGATTATAATTTATAGTGAATGGTATTCACCGTTATGAACTGACATCAGTGAAGATGTCAAAATGTAATTTGGTCAATTTGTTGATGCTAATATCTAAGACCTGTCATCTTAAATTTGATTGGTTCATTCATAAATTATAATCTCCCTGGTAATTTTGTTTACTTGTATATTTCTTTCTTCTTTCTTTCCTTTCTTTCTTTCTCCTTTCAATATTCAATCTTCCTCTTATATAAACAATATCAAGTGAGGGTATTTGAACTTTTTCGAAACAAACATCTAACATTCTTTTTATAATGTATACATCATAGAATAGATAGTTGATTCAAAGAGAAATATCAGTTCTCTTCCATGAACTATTCAAAATATAGTATAGTTTTCTAAAGATAATCAAATAGATTGATTATTACTTCAATAATCAACATGTTTTGAATTAAATATAAAGTATTTTAATCATAATCAATAGGTTACATTTTGACAATTTATGGTAATGACATTGTTTACTCTCATCCTTTCTCTTTCTCCTGGTGATTGAATGGATCATGAAGACGTCAGTATCTGAAGGGAAGCACAGGATACAGTAGACGATCTAGACTTCGCAGATGATCTGGTTACTTTATCGTAAACGCAAAAACAAATGCAGGAGAAGACGACCAGTGTAGCAGCAGTAGGTCTCAATATACACAAAAAGAAATGCAAGATTCTTCGATACAACACAACATACAACAATCAAATCACACTTGACAGAGAAGCTTTGGAGGATGTAAAAGCCTTTACATAACTGTGCAGCATCATTGATGAACACGGTGGATTTAATGCACATGTGAAGACACGAATCGGTAAAGCAAGTGCAGCATATTTACAATCGAAGAACATCTGGCACTCAAAACAACTATCTGTCAACTAACACCAAAATCAGAATTTTCAATACAAATGTCAAGACAGTTCTACTGTATGGGGTGGAAAGTTGGAGAACTACGAATGCCATCATCCAGAAGATACAAGTTTTCATTAACAGTTGTCTACGCAAAATACTTCGGATCTGTTAGCCTACTTTGGGAGAGTGAACAAACCAGATCTCAGCGGAGGAAGAGATCAGGAAGAAGCGGATGGGAAGTGGATAGGACACATAATGAGGAAAGCACGTAACTGCGTCACAAGGCAAGCCCTCACTTGGAAACCACAGGGCCAAAGGAGGAGAAGAGGAGCAAAGAACACATTACGCCGGTAAATGGAGAGAAACATGATACGAATGAACAAGAATTGGATGGAACTAGAAAGGAAGGCCTAAGACAGAGTGGGTTGGAGAATGCTGTTGGGCGGCCTATGCTTCATTGGGAGTAACAGGCGTAAGTAAGTAACATGGTAATGACAGAATGATCATCATCATCTATGTAGATAATGCCTTGGCTAAGAATTAGTTTCGATTTACAATACTGAAACTTTAGAAATTCCACTTCAGAGGTTTATTCGTTATTGAGAAAACTTACATTTATCTCAATCGTTGAAATTACTACAATCTAAAGAAAACCTCTTCTGATGTGAATTAACATATGCTCACTAGTGACTGGCTTCAAGAGGTATTTCCTGGAGTTCTAGTGAGTAACAGTGATCAGTGGAGTTCAACCAGGTCTGTTGTGAGATAGTAACTTACTGAAGATAGTGGTGAATGTGTTGCTCAATTTCGTGGATTAGCTGAAGCTAGACATTAACACCGTTGGATGCCATTTATTTCAGTGGTCTAGTGGTTAAGCGTTTGCGCGCGAGACTGATAGGTACTGGGTTCGTGGATGCACATTGCTGAGTAGTCTCACAATAGGACAAAATGGCCGTTCAGTGCCTCCAGGTTTTCCATAGTAGTTTATCTTCAATTGACTCATGATCTCAACCATGGAAATTACTACAATATCCACAAAACCTCTTCTGATACATTTATTAGTTACTTTTAAGGTTTTTCAGTACTTTTTAGTGATATTGGATAAATGTTAGTTAGTCAGTAACAACGTGGAACTTCGTATGTGCGCACATCAATTCGAGTTGCCATACCACATTAGCACAAAGATTCAGTTACCGATTCAAATCCCCTAATGGTAGAGGTAGTAAAAGTATAAGTAGTAATAGGGAACATTACGGTTTGGTGATGCTTTTCAAGGAGTATAATCTAGCGAAATGAATTTGGAAAGAAAATGAAGAATTCAGAAGATTAGAATTTGGGAGAACACAAACTGTGGATGCACCTGCACCATTGCAAATGATTTTGAGTCATGTCATTGAACATCTCTAACCATCGGTTGCTATCATCTCGCGGTCCCCAACCAGGTAGTCTATACCTGCCAACATGGCTCAGTCTACTTGTCAATGACTTCATGGATTTGTGACATGATTTGGTCTGGTCGCCTCTAGCTTTCTTCCAACCTACTCCTACACCATAAAACATCGTACGTCGTGGCAGTCGGTGGTTGGGCATACGTAACACACGTCCCAGCCATCTCAACTGATTAAGTTTCACTACTTTGTAGTTATAAGACTATTGAAATGCAAAATAAATACTTAACACTGACTGTTCTAGTCTTTTTACCCTATGAAACAATGACAAAAATACAGCTTTCAACCATAAAGTTATAGGTTAAAACTCTTCTCCATTTACTTTAATTTAGGTACTCGGATAGTGTCATTACTTCTGGTTAATAATACATCATTCACAAGCTACTTTAATGTAGTTATAAAGTAGTGCATTTGCTTATTGCTCTAAAAATATAACAATACCATTAATTAGGTATTTGTTTATGCATAGTACTTAATATAGTTTAAAAGTAGTCTGATTCTCGTTTGATTATAAATTATTGGTAAACTGGCACAAGTTCAATAATTAGCTTAGTATCGCATGTTTGGTGACAATACGTCGTCTTTGGTTGTACAACCAAGAATATTCAACTAAGCAAATATCATAATTATTGTTTCATTTGCACAGACATGTTATTCAAAGTAGTGAAATGTACATAATTAAGCCGATAAACCCAAAACACGAACAGTAGGCCAGTCAAAATTATCTAACAGAAGACGAAGGATATTGTGTAGCATGGCATCGAGTCGCGGTTGACCACGATCACCATTAAAAGAAAAGCGCGTACTAGAAAATCAGAAGGCGAATGAAGGTTGTAATCAGATTTATTCGTCGACCATCTCGTGGTATCGAAAGTATACCAAGATCATGCCAAAGGAAATACAAGTGGAATCACTGGGCGAGCGTAAGTGCGTACAAGGTCGCAGTCAACAGAAGAACAATGGATGTCTGTTGTACAGTTAAACAAACAATCGCTAGTACAATTGGTTATAATAATGATTGTTTCCATTAAACCAATCGCGTTCTCTTGACAAAAGTAGGTCAGTACAATTGTTATGAGTTTAAAGACAACAGTCGCTTCCTCATAAAAAACAAACTTGACATCACAACAAACCTTTCTTCAGTAACATTATACACTGACAGTCTATTTGGAAATAATCAACGATGTCATTAAACTTACTACGACTTGGGATATCATCCAAGAATGTTATGAACGTACAGTGTAACGCAGTCGGACGTGGCGAATAAAAATTACAATCAGAGCGAAATTCACAGCATAATCTAGTTATTTAATAAAGAAACAATACATTATAATGTGACAAATTCTATGATTACATGAACGTAGACATGACCGTTATTACACTGAGAGATACATAAGGTTTACATGGAAACGTTGAGTATAAACCCACCCCAATACATTATTAACAGTTTATTCAAATTCATTGCCTTTTATCTTAGCAGTGAAACTCACAACTGTTTACTTTGTAGGTTAGGCATATATATAGAACTGGTATTAAATCCCACTGGTAAATATTAAGGTACACTTATCGAAATATATATTGAGCCTGAGAGTAAATTGAACTGAGCGGTTTAATTACTAGCACGAATATTATCCAAACGACATGTATATTCTGGCGATTACAGATTTATTTCAATTTCTCTTCAGATAATCAATCAATCAAACGTAACGTTCAACCTGGTACGTAAACACGTCCTTTCATAATGTTCAAATGGTTGTGGACGGAATAGAAGAAGCTTTCGCTTAACAGGCATCCGTGTCTAGCAGCAGGGGATCACCGATACCTCCAAGCAGGAACTTAGGTATATTAACTATAACAGAGGAAAAAAAGAAATTGGTAACTCATAATAAGATGTTATCTTTAGTCCTTAAGAATAGGTCAAGTTTCCTGTTAAAGGACTCCTGGGAAGTCTCTTGGACTAGTTCAGTCGGCAGCGTTTCACAACTCTTAAGGAGTAGAAGCTGTATCTACAGCTGTTGTATCTCCAATTTCTGGGTGTTACCCCTTAAGTTTGTATTGGGACTAAGCTTCAGTACACCATCAGCACTGAGATATAAAATTGTTGGAAGAAATCCTAGAATAGTAGAAGTAGTAGTAGTATAGTTACTATCCTACAAAAACAATTTCGATTATGGTTAATTTTGGTTAAATCCTTTTTATTAACTTATTTAACAGACAATTTTATTTGAACCAGTAACAATTTGTCTATTTCTTTGTACCGTTCTGATCACTAGGATCACATGACAGACTCCAGCTAATATGTTGATCGCTTAAATATCATTCGATGATTCATCCTCCTCCCAATGTATGTATGTACTCAAATCCTATTATTAACCTTTATGTTGCCTAGCTGGGCCCTTATTCAATTTAATTAGAAATTCGCCTATGTAATTGCTCGCATGTACTTATTCCCTTCAAATGTGCTTATAGCTTTGTGATCTGAGCTATCCGTTAATAAACTGTAGTTGCCTCTTCTTATTGCCTTCTGATTTTAAACACCGTTGAGATTTATAATATAACGGTTTTCGAGGTGATTGATTAACAAAGCAAAGTCACTACAGCAGTAACAGTTTTATTGGTGATATAAAAGATTGGGCATCGAATACATGATTCCAAAAAATACAAATCTGTGAGTTAACACATAATTATGGGCAATTCAGAAGGTTAGTATCTGTGAGAAGACGAAAAGTGGATGCAACGGTGCAATTCCAAACGATTTTGACACATGTCATTCAAAGTCTCTAACCATTAGTTATGATGATCATACAGACCTCAACCAGGTAGTCTACACCTGTTAATATGGCTAAGTCCAATTGTTATTGACCTCAAGGACTGATCCTATGTTTCAGTTTGACCGCTCCTAGCTTTCTTCCAATCAAACTCTACACTAGTCAACATTGCCCCCATCGAGGTAACAAGTAGTTGAGCATATGTAACACCTGTCCCAACCACCTCAGCTGATGAGAATCTACTATCTCATCCCTAACTTAAGCATTGCTTACTCGATGGTTCCAAAATTAAACTCGCATGTTTAAATTTTTCTAGTTCAAATATCCGTATACACCGGTTTTAAAAGATCACTTCAGCACTGTACATATCTATTACTAATATAGTGTGAAATAATCCCCTTAAAACATTATGCAGAAGAATGTAGACACTAAGGTATAGCTTTTGGAAAATGACAGCAACATTAGATCATTCTATTATCATACTTTCGAACCAGATTATTCAAGGTATTAAGAAATTAACACTAAACCTTGGTACGATATTCAAATGAACCATTCCATATGATCCCTGAAATTTTTATTGTAAACAAGCAAGATTTCTACATAATGATCAATTCTGCTAATGTAACTCACGAATTACATAAGCAGCTTTAAGCAACAGTCTTCCTCTTTCTCGTTTAAAGACTAGTGATACTAACCAACTCTATAAATTATTACAAATTAGGTGAGTTTCGAACCTATGATGTAATGTTTGAAATTTAAATGTTGTAACTTCTAAACTAACGCTCAGTTATTCACTTTATTTAGAACTAACCAAGACAAATTGTTTGGATCCGTTGGCCAGACATTATCAGTAACAACCAACTATGGGAGAGAACAAACTAGATCCCAGCGGAGGAAGAAGCGCTGGAAAAGGGATAGGACACACATTGAAGAAAGCACCCAACTACGTCACAAGGCATGCCCTCACATGGAATCCTCAAGGCCAAAGGAGGAGAGAAAGACCAAAGAACACATTACAGAGAGAAATGGAGAGAGACATGATACGAATGAACAAAAATTGGAAAGAACTGGAAAAGAAGGCCCAGGACAAAGCGAGTGGGTTGGAGAATGCTGTTGGGAGGCCTATGCTCCATTAAGGGTAACAAGTGTATGTAAGTAGTAAGACAAATTATTTGGTCACTATTTACTCAGATACAATTGTAAGTAACTTTTATATATTCAATTTCCTTGGTCCTTCTGTGGTGTGGGTTACCTATATCCACACAAGTAGTATACAACGTTGGCCAGGCATAGAATGTATTTCAGTAGAAGATCAATGAGGAAAGAAAGGAAACGGAACGCGATTCATGAACAATAAAATCTGAGACAATGGATTGATGTTTGTAACAGGAGCATTTAAGTTTGATATGATGAATATTTTGAAAATTAACTATTTCATATATGGTTCTAAGATTTTATTGGGATGCTCTGTAATTGTGTGCCTAAATACATTCGATTGTCCCACCCCACCCCCATTGGTGTTCTGGTTCACTACACTTCAAATATTACACTTTTCTGATTAGCGTTTTATTTTTTAACGAGTTAGTTTTTTTTACGAGATAAGGTCGCTAACCCCCCCCCCTCGAGAATAGCCAACCCTCCAGCTTTATCCAAGTTTGTGACCGGTACTTATTCTAGAGGAGCTAAAAGCAGAGTTCTTCAAGTATATATATTTACATATGTGTTACTCTTCGTTTTCAATTTGTTTTCTTTGAAACAACAAAAACAAAAACAAAAACAAGTTATACATGGTAAAAGATATAAATTTTGTAGGATAAAATAGTATATCATTTACATATACAATAAGTTAAATATTATTTGTAAGAGTTTCAAAGTTACGATTAATTTTTGGTCGTTTTTTCATTGATTTTAATGATTGATCATTGATTCTAGAATGTGTAGAGTTATCATTGATTAATTGAGAAGGTACACGATGAATATTATCTTTATCGATACCGCCTAAAGGTATATTTGATGTTTTACATATTGATTGATTGATCATTACAGGAAGATTATGTTCTTTTGACGGTAAAGTTTTAATAGAACAAGGAGTGAAACGTTTTTCATCATAAGTAATAATTAAATGATCTAAATTATCGAAATTTGATTTATGTTTAGTTATTTCATTCAAGTTGACTTTTTCGTTTGATAAATTACTATGATCACCGTCATTATCATCATCATCGTCATCACCGTCATCATCGTCATCATCATCATCATCATCAATAGAAGTATGGATAGTTGTTGATTCAACTAATTCATGTATCGATTCTTTTCGATTACATTTTGGTATAAGATGATCATAATAAAGATTGACAATCTGTTCTAATGTATTTACATTGGATACCTACTTTTCAAATAAACCAACAAAAAAAAATATTTATGGGAAGAAAGTAATTAGTGATGTACAGAAATTTAGAATTACTAATCAAATAAAGTAAAAATGCTATTTATAAATAATAAGGACTGTATATAACACCACCCCCTTCCTCCGATTTCCAAATTGAGTTACAATCGGATAAAGTTCATATTGTTACAAGTCTAAGCTATATATATATATATATATATATATATATTACTTACGCCTGTTGCTCCTCGTGAAGGAGCATAGGCCGCTCACCAGCATTCTCCAACCCACTCTGTCCTCAACAATCCTTTCCAGTTGTTATTCATCCTTTTCATATCCGCTTCTATTTCCTAACGTAATGTTTCCTTTGGTCTTCCTCTTTTCCGTTTCCCTTCAAGATTCCAAGTTAGCGCTTGTCTCGTGATGCAATTTGATGATTCCCTTAATGTGTGTCCTATCCACTTCCATCGTCTTTTCCTAATTTCCTATTGAGTTGGAAGCTGGTTTGTTCTCTCTCACAAAACGCTGTTGCTGATGGTATCCGGCCAATGGATGTTGAGTATCTTGTGTAGACAGCTATTGATAAATACTTGTACCTTCTTGACGGTGGTTGTTGGAGTTCTCCACGTTTCAGCTTCGAATGCCCTGGTGCGGCCGAGAATGGTGAGAGTCCGCTCTCCCTCTCGAAATACTCTCACATGGCCATGCGTATATAGCCTCTGCCAGGGAAGTCCTACTCACTGCCTTCTCGCACCACGGGTGTTGTTTACGAAAATGAGAGAACGAAAAGCGAATGTCTGGCGCTTTGACCAGATCTCAAACCAATGGTGCACATGGGTTGGCTCCAGTATCCTGAAGGAACAAATGGCGTATGAACCAATCGTTGGTCACCGGCTACAATGGGACTGCATCACCTTACGATGCTCCACTGCCTTGTGGATCAGACGTTCAGGTCGGAAGTTCAGGGTGTGGTCCCCTAAGAAAACCACCTGATTCGGTTTGGGCACCCGAGTAGTATCACAGCTCTCACACAAATCAATTGAGATTCGTGTAGCGCATATGTATTTGGTGCCTCTTTGTACTAATATTTATTTGTTCAAATAAATAAATAAATAAAAATAAGTAAAATTACAATGCTATAAACCAGTTATAGATCCTAAATACCTAAATTCTTTGTTAGGATTTGAAGAAAATGACAAATAATTACTAGAAGAGCATTATATAAACCAACGGAGTTTTATAAAGCTTTCAAGATTGTTACTTATTTTGATATCAGGAGAAAAAATAGTTGGCTTTGTTAATATTAACTCTTAGCGACCGTAAATTGAGACATGCAATAATAATCACTACTTAAAATGACGTGCAGAGATAGCAAAAGTTAGACGAGGAGTTAATCCGACTCTAATTCAAGATTAGTGGTGTTCGACTTTCAGCTGGAGGTCCGAACCCCGCTATATCTACATCAATTTAGAGGACACGGTAGCAACACCAGCCTTCACAATTAATGTGGCTTCAAGAAAAGTACTCAGATTTGTATCTGGTAGATTAGTTTTTAAAAAGTTCACGAGTTACCCATCCAAATACTCGGGATTCATTTGCCTTTGACATTTTATTTTTCTGTGATATACTGATAATAAACACCAAGCTTTTAAGTATTTTGTCGCAGGTTTCAGTCGTCCCCTATATTAGGTTTATACAACCTAATGGGAGCTTTAATATTCGACAGTAGTTGTGAATGAGTGCTTAAAATGCAAACATGAAAAGTTCGAACTAATAGTATATAAAGCCAGATTGCATAGCAATTAACTCACTAAAGATTTGAAACCTCGACGTTCAAATATTTCTAGTAGTTGATCTTTTGACATTTGTTCTGGATAATATAAATCAACAGTAACACCACATCTGGGCAAATATTCTGAAACTTTTGGCTTTGACTCATTTTCGTCTACTTTCTTCATCTGGTCTAATATCTGGAAATCCAAAACTCTGAAATATATAAAGTGATAATGATGACATTTTGTGAAAATATATGATATATATATATATATATATGATAAGATTAAATTGGTTGATTTCAATGTTTACTACATCATCTTCACGTGCACTGACTTCTACTCCTCTGACTTAATCTCATGAGTTAGAAATGCAACCAACTAAAAGTATTTAGTTTCGGCCATGATCTATAATTTTGGTGGTGAGCTTGTGATACTAGTCAGTTATAAATCAAAGTCCGGGAAATAGAGATCAAATAGGCAACTCAGTGAATACAATTTGATTAGTTTAATTACTAACACACTGCTCTATTTCGTGATTCATAGAATATAAGTTCCACGTTAGACAATGAAAAGTACAATCTGATGCATTTTTTCTGTATACAATAAAGAGACGACATGAACGGTTGTAGCCATTAGCAGATTGAAATAGCTTTGGTCGCTAAAGATATCTTACTCACATTGAGGTGAACTGAGATGAGTCATCCACCATAAAACTTGATAAATTAAAGGTGACTTGAAGTTACACAAAAGTATGCCTGAATATTATTCCTTAATGCAGTAGTACTGTTACTGAGTTACATATTGTGGACCCAATGCATAATTTACGTTGATATTTTACCACAAATAAGAGTACGAATTCCATGGCTTACATAGTTCCTTGATGTTAGCAAATACATAGAGTTACAATCCCGCTACTTGATCTTGAAAGATATATCCCCAATGGCATTTGAACAGACAGCCTACCATAATGGAAATTAGTTTGAAATACAAGAATAAAGAGCGCGATCTCAGTTGTTTTTTAGTAAGAAACGTCTGGTATTACACTAATTACAGCTGTCTTACGAACTATATTTAAGTTTGAGTCAAAGAGGTTCATCTGTTGAGTTTAAGAAGTCAATCTTTTATACAGCCTGCATAACATCTGTTTAAGGGTTTCCGTAAAACTATTCACACAATTGATAGATTTTAATTGTATTCGACAGATGAGAGACCACACAGTCCCCCGACTAAACAAGGGACTCATGAAGCCTAAGGTTTTTCCAGAACATTTAAACTGAAAAGCCTCACCGTATTTCATAATACATACATTGTTACACTTTCAGTAACATAATTCTTAAATAATGTAACGACAAGGCATGGTAGTATGAAATGCTAAAGAATCAACAGGCCAACGAATTCCGAAGTCTACGTGGGTTATATTCAGTTTCTTGAGATAAGTCAAGACAAATAGTGCATGTTGTCATATATTTTACCTCACCAAGCCTTAAGATTTATATACACCAGAGACAATGAATATTTGACTAGACGATCGAATTGAGACCCCTGTTTCTATAATATGACATGCAACTTCCTGAGGTTTTCACACTCAAACAATAAATGAATATCGCGGTAACGGTCGTTTCGTTCCCACTATAGTAAACTTTGGGGAAATTTTGTAGAAATGGCACAAAAACCCCAACATTTCCCCAGACCTGAGGAAGTTCCCCAAAATTTTGAAATGAACGATGAATAGGTCAAAAGTGACAATCACGATCTGAATAAATAGCATGAAACATATCTTAATAATTCACATCAATTAAACATTTCTTTAGTGTCTGACTACTAACTGTTACATTATTATATGTTCGACAATTAACAACCTGTCTCAACTGTCTACTCTCAAGGTCATGGTTTGAAACGCACAAGTTCGTTCCCAATATCCAATATGTTTGACATAAGCATGCATAAACCGATCGATTTCTTCGGGCTCTTTCCTTGTTATTATGGTATAGTTAAGGCATTTGGCTATGCTCAATAAGTGGTTTATAGCCATTTGGTTGCACTAATTTTAGTGAACTTGGCAGTTATATATGGATTGGTACATTTTGTAAATTAAATACATTTGTCTCAGGACGGTAGGGTTTCTGGATACCGGTGGCTACAACATTATCACGCAGACAGTCGGTTAGTTCCAATGTGAAAAATCGGTAAAGTGGAAATTAGAGAAGATTATTGTTTCAAGAATAAAAAATATGTAAATTGATCATTAATACAGACAAAATCCTTCAGGGAGACTCTCCACTTGTCCCAGGCTCTTTTTTTCCCGTGTACGAGTTAACTAAAGATCTCTTTTCAGATATGTTCTTTGCCTAAAGAACGTCGTCTGAGATATAATCCTAAATAATGTCCACTACTATCTCCCACTGGTTATACATTGTTAACCTCCACCGCTCTCGTGTACATGATGCGGGATGGAGATACTCTGTCGTTGTCATCTAGTCTTCCCTGATGTTGCTAAGGTATTCAGCGCCCTTGTTCTTCGCTTATGAACACGCTTAACTTAACTGTACCATGGTCACTATTTCCTTCTTGTATGTAGACATAAGCTTCCTCAAATAGAAGATGGTCTCTCGAATTCAAATAATCCGAGTTTGGAGATTTCACATCATTATCCCGACGTGTTGAATCATCACATGTCCATTCAGTCATAAACTTACAACGGCTGTGGCGAGCCGCCTATGGAATGACTGTGTAGTGAATGCATCCAACGTGTTTTGTTTTGTTATGTTCATCTCCTCTTTTCAGCCATATTGACCTAGGTTGATTCTGACAACATCTGGTATGATCGTAAAGGTCATTTTTCGAAGTGTGCCAGGCATGAGTGGCCTCAGTTTGGTTACCTTGGTTTTTGAAGTCCACAGACATCAGACGCAGAGATTTAATGATTGTTAGATGTAATTGGCAAAGTAGCTAACTGTCATAGATGTGTGGAAGCCTGTGCAACGTGATAACCACACAATCACTGATTACTGTGCACGTTAGCCACGTCCTGGCTACTACCAACCAGCTCAAACACTCCGTGAGACAACATACTAGTTGGAGTGTGGTTGTTTGCCGATCTTCCAGATGTGTGTAACTCGTATGTTTGAGGGCCGTTTAATCTACGGTTCCTGGAATGCCATTGCGATTTTTCTGCTGTGTTAAATTTTCCGTCACCCTTAATGGGATGGGTTTACTCTTCGACCCTTGTACAGGTGGCATACTTTTCCTGAAGTAGTACCCTTTCAGAAAATTTCACGGCATTTGTTCCACTGTCCTTCATTACATGTTGGCCTTCTTCATGGTAAACTCCTTTTTGAAACTGGAACAGTAAATTAAATAAGGAAGTTCAGTGAGAAATCTTGGTCTCCAATTTTTAGAGTTTTGAGGGTTACAATGTTATCATTTCCTTTCCCAACGCTCACCCACTGCCCCTTATTAGTAACAGACAATGTAATTTTTTTAGTGTATGAGCTCGGGTCGCGGCTGCTGTAGTTGCGTGTTTGTTCGAGCCTGTATTGGATGAGTTGAGCATAATGGTGGTAGTTTTCAAAGGTGATTTATGGTTCCCTTTTATTAGTTCTATTGGTGCAATTTTCCACCACTGTTTCAACTTCTCAGTACTATGCACAGTCCTGACCTAACGAAGGTTGAACAATAGAGTTATGTAAAGTTGTCACAGAACCCAGCTGATTGGACCTGGAGAGGTATACAAAAAAATGACTGATCTTGAATCTTGGTTTAAATGTCCTACTTTACTTCGTGGCGATTTTCGCATCACTATTACTGACTGTCCGGAACGTACTCATGAAAAAAATGAGTTTAGAAAAACTGTTGTGGTTAAACTGAGTAGCATAAAACACAACATGTCACCTATTCTTTCTTATTACTCTGAGCCATGGTTGAAATTAATCAGGGCTGTAGCCTGGCTTAGAGGGTTTTCAAAATTCTTGATGTTACTTCGTTCACCGAGTCGCGAAGGGTCTGTTCATTTAGAATGCCTAACGGCCAAGGAGTTTGACATCGCCGAGCGTAAGATTTTAATGATGGTCCAGAAAGAAGTGTATAGAGAATTACTTGGTGAATTTTAAAACAACAATAAAATAGTTAGTCATGATGATCTAAAGGGTTTATCACCAATAATGCTTGGTGGGTTATTCTGTGTTGGAGGTCGTCTAAGCTACCCAGATTTCCCAAATGCTTTTAAACATCCAATAATTTTACCCATTTGACACTTCGTGACGGAAATGATAATTAGACACTATCATAAAGAACAAAGACTCACACGAACGTCTTAGGTACTAGCCACAATTCCGAAAAGCTTTTGGATAGTAAGAAGAACCAGCATGATTAGAAGAGTGATACGAAAGTGTGTGACATGCCGTTGGTTGATAATGAATTCAGTACAACAACTGATGGCGTCATTAGAAAAACGTTATGAATGTGTATTTACTTGTTTACAGACACGAACAGTACATATTGAAATGAAGTATAGTTTGAATACTGATTCATTTATAATGGCCTCATTACGTCTTATTGGATGAAGAGGGGAACCTGCAGAAATTTACAGGGACAGTAGGTCAAGCTTCATGGATTCAGTCTCTGAACCAAGGAAGTTTGTGCAACAGTTGAGTCAGATGAAGATAAATAAGAATTTCCAGCGAGGTAGACTCAACGGCATTTTAACTCGCCCTCATCCAGCCACAAGGGTGGGATTTGGGAAAGGATGATTACTTCTGTACGCCAATTGTTATTGATCATCACGAGGGAACAGACTTTAACTGATCAGGTATGGTATGTCTCCTTGAAGGTTCAAATTAGTTCTTTGTTATCATCAATGTAGGTAGGTCGAGTAGGCGTACTGTTGTAAGTCCTGCTCGTTCCTCTAGTGTAGAATATGTTGTAGTATGAACCATGGTCATAGGCATCAAGGTGGCTAGTCTTGTATGGAGGGATTTTGCAGACCGATGTAAGATCGATTTTGAATGTTTTGTGTGTAAAAATCCCTCCATGTTTACACTTGAGGTTTGTTCCTATTGATTCCTTTAGTTGTACATTGTTGGTCTTTTTGATTCCGTTTGAGTTATTAATATTTGTATTTTATTATAGGTTTCACTTTTCTTACGCCTTCACTAAGTTTCCGTGTTTCTTCCTGAACTGCATTTATATTATGCTTACTTGATACATAGTCTTGGCGACAGCCATATTGGTTCGTTCCTCTTTTTGATTGTGTTGCTTGTATCGACTGTAATTGTGCAATTTTGATTGTGAATTGAGGCACTCTTCAAGAATTGGAAACACTCTGTGTTATAAAGCAACCAAATATTATCTTTCGAACGAATCTGTACGTGGTCTATCCAGACAGGATAGGATAGCATTTACTTGTTGTGATTGGTAATTTTTTGCATCCTTTACCAACTTCCTTATTGTAATTTAGATTTGATTAATTGGAAAATTATTGGTTGGATAGCTGGGTGGTCATATTTGTTTAGGTAGCAATGTACATTTAAATTTATGATGAATTATAGAACCATCATTTTACCCAATTACTATGTTTTGGATTCAACCGGGCAACGGCACGTATCTAACCCACTTAGACAGCTATTCTTCAGTCCAAACCTTATTTGGGATCTTACATTTAGTGACCTCTTAAATTTTGTTTTGGAAGACAATAAAAACGACGGAACATCAGATGCGAGTTTACCATGAAGTAACCAAGTCGCCTCTGGTTCTTCTATATGATTGGTTTGGTTTAGTCAGTCGAGCATCACACGGGAGCTTTTCTGTTCTGGGAATCAGCTTCGCTGTGGTTCTTTGAAGCATTACCAATAGCTCACTCCCTTTTTAGACGGACGATAGCCACTTGTGTGCAATTTTCGGGTTTAGGATGGAAGAATTCAGCAAACAAAGTAAACAAGGTTTTGGTACCGACATGGCAAAGGGCCCTAAGTATTTACCACAAGGTTCTAAAATCATTGTCGGCTATCGCACGACAATGTGCAGTAGTTTTTAAGTTCTAGCTGATGATGAATATCAAGTCATCGTGTATCTGGACAGTAGATAGTTTGCTGATGTCCACCGTTTAAGCATCTGTACCTTGATGACCAATATAAATCACAATGCGCTTGGAAGTATTCGTCGGCTCTCCATATCTTGACATCATGAGCATATAACAAAACCAATGACGATATTAGACTAGGATGGTCGTTTACATACAAGAGGAACAACACCGGCACGAAAACTAAACCCTGAAGCACTCTGCTAAGCACAATTTCCCGGTTAAAGTTTAGTTCATTTGTACTCATTGTTGGTAACCAAATAAGAAGTCTTTTGTGCACAATAATAAATTACGTTCATTCCCAATAATACGTAACTTATACAACAGCCGATTGTGAGGAACCTTATCAAAGGCTTTGCTGCAGTCAGTGTAGACTACCTCTATGGGTAACTTTTAGTACCACACTAGTTTTCACGATCTACTAACAAGTTAGTGAGACTAGAATAAACTTTTCCAAGCCATGCTGCTTTTCATGAAGAATCCGGTTATCGTCGATATAATTAGACAACTCCCTCCGAATAATCTTGTCCAAAATTTTAAATACCACGCTGGTTAAGCTAACGGGTTGATAGTTCTCAAGTTTATGTCCCGTTCCGTTCTTGAAGATAAGACCTTTGGTAATCAACCCAGTGATCCAGACAGATTAAAACATGTACTTAAGGGATTCACGACAATATTTGCTAATTCCTCTAGTAACCGAGACATTTCATCGGGTTCCATGGATTTGTCCATGCAGTAGTACTGGTCCTAGCCACACAATCCTGAAAATGAGATAACTGGAAAATAGATATTTAATAATTAACATA